ACAGAGACACTGCTGCAGTCGTTATGGATCACGTTATGGAAGTTGTTTTATTCATTTCAAATGAATCATGGTCAGTTTGATGCTTTCTCTGTGATAATAACATAACCATGGACCTTACACACTGAAGATGGTTAATGTGATAATAACATAACCATGGACCTGACCACACTGAAGATGGTTAATGTGATAATAACATAACCATGGACCTGACCACACTGAAGATGGTTAATGTGATAATAACATAACCATGGACCTGACCACACTGAAGAAGGTTAATGTGATAATAACATAACCATGGACCTGACCACACTGAAGATGGTTAATGTGATAATAACATAACCATGGACCTTACCACACTGAAGATGGTTAATGTGATAATAACATAACCATGGACCGTACCACACTGAAGATGGTTAATGTGATAATAACATAACCATGGACCGTACCACACTGAAGATGGTTAATGTGATAATAACATAACCATGGACCTGACCACACTGAAGAAGGTTAATGTGATAATAACATAACCATGGACCTTACCACACTGAAGAAGGTTAATGTGATAATAACATAACCATGGACCTTACACACTGAAGATGGTTAATGTGATAATAACATAACCATGGACCTTACCACACTGAAGATGGTTAATGTGATAATAACATAACCATGGACCGTACCACACTGAAGATGGTTAATGTGATAATAACATAACCATGGACCTGACCACACTGAAGAAGGTTAATGTGATAATAACATAACCATGGACCTTACCACACTGAAGATGGTTAATGTGATAATAACATAACCATGGACCTGACCACACTGAAGAAGGTTAATGTGATAATAACATAACCATGGACCTTACCACACTGAAGAAGGTTAATGTGATAATAACATAACCATGGACCTTACACACTGAAGATGGTTAATGTGATAATAACATAACCATGGACCTTACCACACTGAAGATGGTTAATGTGATAATAACATAACCATGGACCTGACCACACTGAAGAAGGTTAATGTGATAATAACATAACCATGGACCTGACCACACTGAAGATGGTTAATGTGATAATAACATAACCATGGACCTGACCACACTGAAGATGGTTAATGTGATAATAACATAACCATGGACCTGACCACACTGAAGAAGGTTAATGTGATAATAACATAACCATGGACCTTACCACACTGAAGATGGTTAAGCTGATAATAACATAACCATGGACCTTACACACTGAAGAAGGTTAATGTGATAATAACATAACCATGGACCTTACCACACTGAAGATGGTTAAGCTGATAATAACATAACCATGGACCTGACCACACTGAAGAAGGTTAATGTGATAATAACATAACCATGGACCTGACCACACTGAAGATGGTTAATGTGATAATAACATAACCATGGACCTTACCACACTGAAGATGGTTAATGTGACAATAACATAACCATGGACCTGACCACACTGAAGAAGGTTAATGTGATAATAACATAACCATGGACCTGACCACACTGAAGATGGTTAAGCTGAGGTGCTGTGTTAAAGTGCTTTTTTCTATCTACCTACTTTACCTTTGTGTTTTCTCTGTAATGAGCCTTAAAACAAAGCTAACATACAGATATTAATATACATATTGTGAAATACCATTTTCAATGTAATACTGTAAATACATTACATTATTTGCACTATGGAAAACTCACTGTTTGACACCCCTGCTTTAGATTCTAATCCACAGCTGGTGTTACAGTCAAGCTTTTGCACTGCTAAACAACTGAAGGTTTGGAAAACCTTCAGTTGGACACATCCTGCATTGTACAGAGCCGTGTAAGTAACGATTGGTATGAACTTATCTTTCTCAACAAAACACTGCGTCTGTGGCTGTGTTCTTTTCAGCTCAAACATTCAGTGTTTATTTAAAACACCGACTCATACCTGACAATGAAATAAAGGTGGGGATGTAATAACTGAGCACTGTGACTCCATGGCTGGGTAAATAAATAATCCTTAGAGGTAAATAAATAATCCTTAGAGGTAAATAAATAATCCTTAGAGGTAAAAGCGTTTGCAGTGAAATGTTAGCGAGCCACTTTTCCTGCGTCTTTTCGTAAAGTCCTTAGTGCGAGCCTCTTTATTGATATCTTCACGAGGAATCCTAAAGTATACATTAAAGGTTTCGCGATTCGATCGGTTAGAAAACTTAAATCAACACATGCAAAAGGCAGATTCAGACACACTGCTCTAGTGAACAACGAGCTCGCCGACCACCACTTTGTGATACGCATATGTAATGAGGCGGACGTGACGTCAATTGCAAGCAACCATGGGCTTCATTGAGCTAGTGGGTTAGCATTGTCCATCCAGTTATGGTGATAACTAACTTATCATAACATTACTAAGTCAAATAAACAGTGCACAGTTGCATCTTTTGTTGACTGTAGGACATGTTCAAGGACGATACAAATCTGCAACAAGAAAATGTCTTAGCAGGAAATAATGTCAGCGAATAGTTGCAATCTTTGCGATGTGCTAAGACCTGGTCAGTCCCTGTGCTCCTCAGAGTCCTCTTTGGTTCATATGGCACTAGAATGTCACAGATATGTACAGTGCCTTTGCGAAAGTATTCGACCCCCGTCAACCTTTCAACATTTCGCCACATTTCAGGCTTCAAACATAAAGATATAAAATTTAATTTTTTGTCACGAATCAACAACAAGTGGGACACAATCATGAAGTGGAACAAAATTTATTGGATAATTTAAACTTTTTTAACAAATAAAAAACTGAAAAGTGGGGCGTGCAATATTATTTGGCCCCTTTACTTTCAGTGCAGCAAACTCAGTCCAGAAGTTCAGTGAGGATCTTTGAATGATCCAATGTTGTCCTAAATGACTGATGATGATAAATAGAATGCACCTGTGTGTAATCAAGTCTCCGTATAAATGCACCTGCTCTTTGATAGTCTCAGGGTTCTGTTTAAAGCACAGAGAGAACCATGAAGACAAAGGAACACACCAGGCAGGTCCGAGATACTATTGTGGAGAAGTTTAAAGCCGGATTTGGATACAAAAAGATTTCCCAAGCTTTAAACATCTCAAGGAGCACTATGCAAGCAATTATATTGAAATGGAAGGAGTATCAGACCACTGCAAATCTACCAAGACCCGGCCGTCCCTCCAAACTTTCATCTCAAACAAGGAGAAGACTGATCAGAGATGCAGCCAAGAGGCCCATGATTACTCTGGATGAACTGCAGATAACTACAGCTGAGGTGGGAGAGTCTGTCCATAGGACAACAATCAATCGTGCACTTCACAAATCTGGCCTTTATGGAAGAGTGGCAAGAAGAAAGCCATTTCTCAAAGATATCCATAAAAAGTCTTGTTTAAAGTTTGCCACAAGCCACCTGGGAGACACACCAAACATGTGGAAGAAGGTGCTCTGGTCAGATGAAGCCAAAATCGAACTTTTTGGCCACAATGCAAAACGATATGTTTGGCGTAAAAGCAACACAGCTCATCACCCTGAACACACCATCCCCACCTCAGCTGTAGTTATCTGCAGTTCATCCAGAGTGATCATGGGCCTCTTGGCTGCATCTCTGATCAGTCTTCTCCTTGTTTGAGATGAAAGTTTGGAGGGACGGCCGGGTCTTGGTAGATTTGCAGTGGTCTGATACTCCTTCCATTTCAATATAATTGCTTGCACAGTGCTCCTTGAGATGTTTAAAGCTTGGGAAATCTTTTTGTATCCAAATCCGGCTTTAAACTTCTCCACAACAGTATCTCGGACCTGCCTGGTGTGTTCCTTTGTCTCCATGGTTCTCTCTGTGCTTTAAACAGAACCCTGAGACTATCAAAGAGCAGGTGCATTTATACGGAGACTTGATTACACACAGGTGCATTCTATTTATCATCATCAGTCATTTAGGACAACATTGGATCATTCAAAGATCCTCACTGAACTTCTGGACTGAGTTTGCTGCACTGAAAGTAAAGGGGCCGAATAATATTGCACGCCCCACTATTCAGTTTTTTATTTGTTAAAAAAGTTTAAATTATCCAATAAATTCCGTTCCACTTCACGATTGTGTCCCACTTGTTGTTGATTCATGACAAAAAATTAAAATTTTATATCTTTGTTTGTAGCCTGAAATGTGGCGAAATGTTGAAATGTTCAAGGGGGCCGAATACTTTCGCAAGGCACTGTACTTTGGTGCGAGGTCATGGAGAGTAGGAAGCTCAAATTCTATCCATAGATCTGATTGTAATTTAATCTACAGTAACTTTCTCTGCTGGATCTGATCAAATTCAGGTCATAATAACTGTCTGTCTGTCATTCCCGTTTTAAAATGTGAAAGACTTCTTGTTGTGGTTACAGACCATAAAGGAGGTTGTCATGATGGCCACACAAACAGGTCTGAGACGGGAGACTGGTCACACTCTGCCTTAGACTGCCTTCTTACCTTTTATTATACGACTATAAATATGGAAGCGCTTTATGGATTACAAGTCTGAATGAATTTATACATTCGGCTGTTGGTCAGAAGTTATATTTGAAACTCTGAACCTACAAAGTAAGAAGTGTGTCAGAAGAATTTTAGACACAAGAATATTTAACATATGATAAGCCCTATGTGGGTGTGATTTGGGCAGGTCTATGGCAGGTCTATGGCAGGTCTATGGCAGGTCTATGGCGGGTCTATGGCGGATCTATGGCGGGTCTATGGCGGATCTATGGCGGGTCTATGGCGGGTCTATGGCGGGTCTATGGCGGGTCTATGGCGGGTCTATGGCGGGTCTATGGCAGGTCTATGGCAGGTCCACAGCCGGTCCGGTTAGTGGCTAAAATGTTAAAATGTGGTGAGTTGGTAAAAAATAATGTTTTTTTCGTGATTTTTCTGCTTTTATGAGGGGAAAAAAGATGAAGCCAAATAAATACAAAACCAATATTGTTCATGTTTTCTCCAGATCCCAGGACTGAACGATGCCTCCGGCCTCCAGCTCCGACTGCCCCCACCTCGACTGTGTGGGGGAGATCACCAAAGAGGAACTTATCCAGAAATCTCACGTGAGTCAAAATGAAGCTGCTGTTTTGGTTTACCCAAGTATTGAGGACTGGATTTAGTTTTTGCCCTTTTGAATTTCTCTTGTGAATGCAGAAGTTTAAGACTAAAAATTGCTACACATGGACATAGCATCTACAAAGGCTGAGAATGTTGAAAAACCCAATTCAGCGCTGCTTCAAACCGGTTTGACCACTTTAAGATCAAACTGCTGTCCTGCAAACCGTATCAGTTCAAAGATCCAGGACTGAGGCTGTAGATAAAGGACTGAGGCTGTAGATCCAGGACTGAGGCTGTAGATCCAGGACTGAGGCTGTAGATCCAGGACTGAGGCTGTAGATCAAGGACTGAGGCTGTAGATCAAGGACTGAGGCTGTAGATCAAGGACTGAGGCTGTAGACCCAGGACTGAGGCTGTAGACCCAGGACTGAGGCTGTAGACCCAGGACTGAGGCTGTAGACCCAGGACTGAGGCTGTAGACCCAGGACTGAGGCTGTAGACCCAGGACTGAGGCTGTAGACCCAGGACTGAGGCTGCAGACCCAGGACTGAGGCTGCAGACCCAGGACTGAGGCTGCAGACCCAGGACTGAGGCTGCAGACCCAGGACTGAGGCTGCAGACCCAGGACTGAGGCTGCAGACCCAGGACTGAGGCTGCAGACCCAGGACTGGAATGTTTCATAGTGGCTTATTGCAGACACTCAAAGACAGGACAGGGAGAGCTCAGCCTTGCTTCAGCCTCAGACCTCAGTGACTCCACACCGGATTGATCAGAGCCATGATGATAATAATATTAATACATAAATGCATTTCTGCTCTGCGTCCACAGGGCCAGTGTCAAGACTGTGAAGTAGGAGGACCAAATCTGTGGGCCTGTCTGGAGGTGAGCCACCGAGGATTTGTTTGTTTAAAATCAATGCAGTATTGAATTGCAGCGAGAACGGTCACAAAGGGCACATTCCAAAGACTGCGCATGTTGAGCTTGCATCGTTTTCTCTGCAAAAACAAAAAGATCTCTGTGCTTTAGACGCTCTACACGCACTTTTTTTGCCCATTATATAAACTGACAACACCAACATGTGGTGTTGTCAGTTTATATAATGGGCAAAAAAAGTCAGTGTTTATTGAATCCTACTTTAAAAACAGACATTGCACACTACACAAGCTATTAGGATTCAAAGACCAGAGAGAGACCAGAGGGAGAGACCAGAGAGGGAGAGACCAGAGAGGGAGAGACCAGAGAGGGAGAGACCAGAGAGGGAGAGACCAGAGAGGGAGAGACCAGAGAGGGAGAGACCAGAGAGGGAGAGACCAGAGAGGGAGAGACCAGAGAGGGAGAGACCAGAGAGGGAGAGACCAGAGAGAGTCTCTCTCTGACATAGAAAAAGCTATTTCCTTGACTCTCACATAATTTTAATGACGACTCCTCAACTTTCTCTTTCACTGAAATAATAAGTGAAAAAGTAGTGCACATTGTGGATTATTTTCATGATTTAACTTTTCCGTCTCTCTTCTTCTGCAGAATGGTTGTTCGTATGTCGGCTGTGGAGAGTCCCACGCCGACCACAGCACCGTCCACTCGCAGGTAAAATACTACATCACATCAACGATACTTCTCTCTCTCTGTCTCTCTCTCTCTCTCTCTCTCTCTCTGTCTCTCTGTCTCTGTCTCTCTCTCTCTCTCTCTCTCTCTCTGTCTCTGTCTCTCTCTCTGTCTCTCTGTCTGTCTCTCTCTCTCTCTCTCTCTCTCTGTCTCTGTCTCTCTCTCTGTCTCTCTGTCTGTCTCTCTCTCTCTCTCTCTCTGTCTCTGTCTCTCTCTCTGTCTCTCTCTCTCTCTCTCTGTCTCTCTGTCTCTCTCTCTCTCTGTCTCTGTCTCTGGTATGTCTCTCTGTCTATCGTTCCTCTCTCTCTGGTTCCTCTCTCTGGCCTCTCGTCACGTCTATCTCCAACAACATCATATAAACCACTAGTATAACATTACAAAGTCAGAAGAAAACTTTTGTGGCTTGTCAAATTAATGCCAACTATTTGAGCAGTTTATAAAAAGGATTTTGACCTTAGTCAGAACCAGTAGAAACACTGGTACCGTAAAAAGCTCTGTATTCCGTATTATGTATGTTAAAATTGCAGCCAGGTTTCGCGGCTGCAGAAAAACCCCGCTTACTGTTGGATTGATTTTCTTCTGCAGCTGAAACTTCTGAAGTGAAACGTTTATTGTGTAAAAAGTAATCAGGTCGCAGCAGCTGTCTCCGTCTCAGTATTTGGTGCGATCTCAGCAGCGGTTCATCCATAATTAATCCTCCAGTCCTTTGGGAAATGCTTCGGGCCCGGTTCACAGTCCTCAGAGCAGTGTTTTATCAACGCAGGCTGTACTTTGGCCGAAGGAGCCACTGCAGGTCAGCGCAAACCAAGGACTTTTCACATTCTTCAGCTGTTGGAGACCTCTGCTGATATTAGCTGAAAACACATTTACTTCACTTGTTTGTGTTGTTTCTTTGGCCACAGGACTTTGCAAATGTAACAAGGAAAAATATGCAGAACACAGAGTAGTAATAGTATTAATAGCACTGCGATATTTGGGCCACAATTCCATATCATTGCGATTCTTCACATATTGCGAGACAGTATTGTGATTTATATTTTTCAAAGCCATTACACAAATTTATGAAAATAAGACTCAGCTGGTTTTATGGTTTCATTATAACTCCATATAACAATTTATCCATCTACTTGTATTTGACTGTTTTACAACGACCTGCTCGGGGACTACAGGTGTAAATTATCACTGCTGCTACAACCTGGAACCAAGCATCTCTCCTTTTGGCTCATGTTTATTGTACATTGTCCCTGTAAGAATAAAAGCCGTACCATACCGTACCTTTATCAAAGCTTTATCTGTTAAATGCAAAAAAAAACAACAAGCGCGAACGTTGTGGATGTTTACGCAAACGTGGGCGGAATCTGAGCTGCCTGATTGTTTGGGAAATGTAGCTGGTTTTGGCTCCTTTTAAGAAATAGAAATAAAAATGATCACAAACAATTGCTCTACACATTTGTTTCAATGAGTTACAAAAGAAGTTGTCACAGTTTGTACAGTTTGTAGCTAAACCCCAGCAGGTGGATTGCATATTAACACTAGCTTCCATGAATTATAATGTGGTGGGAAGTGACCACAGAGAGTTCTTTAGCTTTTATTCAAACTGAAGCCAACTTCCTCTTTCATGATAAGGTTTTGTCTTCCTGTAATTTACATGAACTCAAACCAAACGTTCAAAATGATAAATGTTGTGATTTATGTCTTTTTTTGAGGAAGTCTATTAAAAGAAGCTTTCCATTTAACCCTATGAACCCGTCTGCATCAGTGCCGATGCACGCGCACATGTTTTACAAATGATCAATTTACTCGCGAACGGTAAAATGTAGCAACTTACTTTTTTTTCCTCTGTGAAGTACGTATTAAGGGCTTTCCGATTTGATTTGTCTGTGCGATGCACGGAGGATAAACTACGTTTGTCTGAAAGGCCGTGTCCAAAGCGTGACCCGTGAGGTACAAACAGCTGTGAGATACAAACACACGGGGACTGCCAAAGATCGTCAGAGAGTGAGATGTCTCACTCCTCTGTGTGTTTCTTGTTCTCCCACAGTTGAAACTACAGCTGCGATTGCAAAAACCGGCTGAAGAGTGCGGATTATTGATAAAGACGATAATAAATACAGTAAAATGACATTATGTGTATATGATGTATATAAATATATGTATTATATAAATAATTGTTTTTTTTTTTTGGCTCAGTTTCTTATGTTTTACGTTTTTTACAGCTGTACTACAGAAGCAACCCCAGCATTATAGACAAACTGCTTCAGGAAGGGCATCAGGAGTACAGAGTTTTTTGCTTTTATAGTGGAATTTTGTTAAAAGTATAATAGTTAGAGATTCAATTTTTTTCCCCATTATCCCCAAGTCCATAAATAACATTTCTATGCAGTGTAAAAAGTTGTTTATAGCATCTCATTGTGTTTTTTCAATACATTTTTGTAAAATTTATTTTCCGTTTGATTTTTTTCTTTGTCTTCATGATTCCATAATTTTTATATAATTCATATGACAGCTTTACAATATGAATATTCTAAAACCCCAGGGTTTACTGAAAAAAACTAAGTATACTGCTTGACTCTGCATCAAAAGATGACTGTTTTATGAACAATTATACACAAAGAAAACCAGGCGAGGAAAGTTCCCCAAAATGACCCATGTGCATAGAGGGTTAACTTGTGTCGTGTTTATCACATTACCTCATGCAAGAGAAATGTCTGTAAGAAGTAAATGACAAAAACCAACCCTGAGCTGTAACACAAGTATGGTTTATTTATTAACATCACTGCTAATCATCAGTGTGCTAGCTTTAGCAAGTGTGTTAGCTTTAGTCCATATATCACTGTAAAAGCCACCCCACTGCGGCACCTGCTGCTCCCAGAGGTCTCCCATCACAGTATCGTCCATAATTGTCTGATGAAGGGTAGTTTGTGTCCAAAATGTCACATTTTGTGCTTAATGAAATAATCCCTTTGGAGCCAAAGCTGTGCAGAGTCATCTCAATGTTTTCATTTTGTTTTGATAATTACCAAAGTGAATATCAGATGTTTTTAACTCTGGTAATTTGTGTAAAATAATGGTGACTTTGTTCCACTCTGATCGAGCGGCTGAACGTGGCATAAATCTTTGGTTGCTTGATGTTAAAGTCCTCAGTTCTGTTCTTGTTCAATGATTTACTTCTGCTGCTCGGGGCTAATGCCACTTCATGAATAAAGCACGTTCAGCCGCTCGGAGCCGCTCGGAGCCGCTCGGGGCCGCTCGGAGCCGCTCGGAGCCGCTCGGAGCCGCTCGGGGCCGCTTGGAGCCGCTCGAGGCCGCTCGGGGCCGCTTGGAGCCGCTCGAGGCCGCTCGGGGCCGCTCGGAGCTGTCCTCTCACACAAGTCACAATCTCACTGTTGCCAGAATCTGTGAAAACCTGATCCCCTCAGACCTCTGAAGCTGGGAACAGCAGGTGCCACAGTGGGGCGGCTGCGGCTGTAGAGTACCAAACTGTGGTTGTGTCCTTAGGCAAGACACTTCTGAATGGTTGGTGGTGGTGGGAGGGGCTGATGGCACAGACTGGTAGCCTCACATCTGTCAGTGTGCCCCAGGGCAGCTGTGGCTACAGTAGTTTATCACCACACTTTTCTAGTGAATGAATAATGACATGTGAAGTGTCCTGGAACGCGCTTTATAAAACGTATGCATAATTATTATTTTCAACAATAATAATAATATCCATAATCTCATCCACGCTGTTCCCACAAAGACTCTTTTCTTCAAGCGTCAAAGTCCTTCTTCCCACTGTGCTTCGTCCTCTGTCTCTCAGGTTTCCTCGGCGATGGGGACGTGGTGACCCAGGCCATCCACGACGCTCAGCAGCTACTGAGAAACCACGGCAAAGACGGCAGAGAGCGCGGCGACAGGAAGACGGTGCGTGTCCGTCATTTCACTGCAGTCTATTCGCAGCTCAGAGAACGCAGCGACACCTCGTCCATCCGCCGCCGATTCAGGCTCCGGTTACGGGAAGTGGTTTTAACAGTCGTAGAGCGTAGCACGAGGCCGTCACAACAGCTGAGGACTGATACCGTTTGGAGAAAGTTGTTTGGAAATGACAAGGAAGTTTGCCGTCTTGGGTTTCCATTCTGGGGTTTGCAGAGAGACAGCTGTTTGTTTGGGATCCTCTGTCAGACGGCGAGATCCCGGACACTACGGCTTCACGTTATGTCAATATGTTTGCAGCTTTAACGCCGTAGAACATTTGCTGTGGGGTTAGAATCTTGGTAATGGTGCATTGGTTTTATATAGACCAGTCAAATACATCAGAGGCCAAAAAAACAGATTTGCTACAAGCCAAGGGCCGGACTGGTTCAACGATTATTAAAACATGTTAAAATAATTGTATCTAACGTGTTGAGCCAAGCCCGAACACAGTGGACCATATTTTACTTAATGATTAAATGAATGATCCAATGTTTTTGTGTGGCTCTGTCTGTACATGTTTCAGCAGCTCACAGACAAAAACTATCTTCCTTCAAACACACGTCCTGAACAGACTGATACTAGAGAGATACATATTTTATTGATCCCCGTAGGGTAAATCCATCCAAACAAACAAAACAAATAAAGTGATCAATTCTAAAAAGCCAACAATAGTAATAACATCAGTCCTTCAGGTCACAGCAGGACCTGAAGGACTGATGTTTCTCTGCTCTGGTCTGGACCAGTGTGGAACCATGAATCCTCTCTGCTCTGGTCTGGACCAGTGTAAAACCATGAATCCTCTCTGCTCTGGTCTGGACCAGTGTAAAACCATGAATCCTCTCTGCTCTGGTCTGGACCAGTGTAAAACCATGAATCCTCTCTGCTCTGGTCTGGACCAGTGTAAAACCATGAATCCTCTCTGCTCTGGTCTGGACCAGTGTAAAACCATGAATCCTCTCTGCTCTGGTCTGGACCAGTGTAAAACCATGAATCCTCTCTGCTCTGGTCTGGACCAGTGTAAAACCATGAATCCTCTCTGCTCTGGTCTGGACCAGTGTAAAACCATGAACACTGAACTGCAGTAACATCTCAGGCAGAAAAAAGCAATAAAAATAACAATTGTAAAACACAAAACAACTGTTTCAGAGACACTCAGGACTCGCTGCAGTTTCCAGAACATTCTAAAGTAAATAAGTTACATGAATTATCCATTATTATCTTACGGCTCTGTGCGGCTGGTTCTGATACTATCGATACTTATCAAATATAATCCCACGAGACCAAGATCAGTCATTCGTGAGCCTTGACTTTGACACCCATGGCATAGACATGTCATTATTTATTCACCTTTACACGGTTTAGTTTATGTAGGATCCCCATGAGCTTAATGCCTGGAGCCAATTTCCTTATATGGGCATTTGTTATGACAGTGTTAGCTTTGTGGCTATCAGAGGCAGACTGTTAGCCACGAATGGATCCGATTGGTCGATCTGTGTATGGCTCATATCTGGATTTACAAAGATAGTATCACAATATAAACCCAGGGATCACAGAGAGCTAAACCATGGATTTATGAAACCCAAAATGGTGAGAGTGACACAAACGGAAACACAACAGGAACCAGAAAGAGTTGGACCAAAACTGCCCCAGTGGGTTCATCGAGCTAGCGGGTTAGCAATGTCCATCTATGTCCTAGAACCTACTCCGTCCCACTAACTTCATACTGTCTGCCCACATTTAACTGAATGAGAACCACTGAATGTCTGCATCTTAAAGAGAGCTACAGTAACATGTTCTTCATCATTCAGTAAATCATCAAACACATTCATCTGTCCGCAATACTTGGCCTTCTTTAGCTTTACTTTAGCTTTACTTCAGCTTTGGTTCCATCCAAGCAGGAAATTAAATCTAAAAACGAGTAAAAAGTACAATCCAAATGTAAAAAACTATCATTTACTCAAAGTACGTGTCATATTGTGAAAGATTAACACACTTTACCCAAACCTGAAGATAACACCAGGCTTCTCTCTCTTTAGTTTACGATGGTTACACAGTCTGTGGTCCTTCATGTCGAGGCTAAAACACCACTCACTGAGGTTGGGTTAGTTATAAGTGGAATTTTTGTGTATACTTTGCGATGATGTCATAAGTTATAGATGTAGTTATAGATGTAGTTATAGATGTAGTTATAGATGTAGTTATAGATGTAGTTATAGATGTAGTTATAGATGTAGTTATAGATGTAGTTATAGATGTAGTTATATATGAAGTTATAGATGTAGTTATAGATGTAGTTATATATGAAGTTATAGATGTAGTTATAGATGTAGTTATAGATGTAGTTATAGATGTAGTTATAGATGTAGTTATAGATGTAGTTATAGATGTAGTTATAGATGTAGTTATATATGAAGTTATAGATGTAGTTATAGATGTAGTTATATATGAAGTTATAGATGTAGTTATAGATGTAGTTATATATGTAGTTATAGATGTAGTTATAGATGTAGTTATAGATGAAGTTATAGATGTAGTTATAGATGTAGTTATAGATGTAGTTATAGATGTAGTTATAGATGTAGTTATAGATGTAGTTATAGATGTAGTTATAGATGTAGTTATAGATGTAGTTATAGATGTAGTTATAGATGAAGTTATAGATGTAGTTATAGATGTAGTTATAGATGTAGATATAGATGTAGTTATAGATGTAGTTATAGATGTAGTTATAGATGAAGTTATAGATGTAGTTATAGATGTAGTTATAGATGTAGTTATAGATGTAGTTATAGATGTAGTTATAGATGTAGTTATAGATGTAGTTATAGATGTAGTTATAGATGTAGTTATAGATGTAGTTATAGATGTAGTTATAGATGAAGTTATAGATGTAGTTATAGATGTAGTTATAGATGTAGATATAGATGTAGTTATAGATGTAGTTATAGATGTAGTTATAGATGTAGTTATAGATGAAGTTATAGATGTAGTTATAGATGTAGTTATAGATGTAGTTATAGATGTAGTTATAGATGTAGTTATAGATGTAGTTATAGATGAAGTTATAGATGTAGTTATAGATGTAGTTATATATATATATATATATATAGTTAGCTCCTCTGTTGTCGACCGTGACAGTGTGTAGGTTTGTGGTTCTATTCCGGTCTTCGTGGGGGTCATTCTTGGAGGTGGCTGTAGCTGCAGCTGTGGAGGCTAAGGCACCTGTGTGCTCCCTCTGCTCCCTCTGCTCCCTCTGCTCCTTCTGCTCCCTCTGCTCCCTCTGCTCCCTCTGCTCCTTCTGCTCTCTCTGCTCTCTCTGCTCCCTCTGTTCCCTCTGCTCTCTCTGCTCCTTCTGTTCCCTCTGTTCCCTCTGCTCCTTATGCTCTCTCTGCTCCTTCTGCTCCCTCTGCTCCTTCTGCTCTCTCTGCTCCTTCTGCTCCCTCTGCTCCCTCTGCTCTCTCTGCTCCTTCTGCTCCTTCTGCTCCCTCTGCTCCCTCTGCTCCCTCTGCTCTCTCTGCTCCTTCTGCTCCTTCTGCTCCCTCTGCTCTGGCCTTCTTTGGGAACGTGCTGCCAGCATTTACAGCTCCCTCATTGTGTAATAGTTTTTCACATTTCTATTTGTTTGAGTCGACTCCTCCCTGGTCTCCCCCTGGTCTCCCCCTGGTCTCCCCCTGGTCTCCCCCTGGTCTCCCCCTGGTCTCCCCCTGGTCTCCCCCTGGTCTCCCCTTGGTCTCCCCCTGGTCTCCCCATGGTCTCCCCCTGGTCTCCCCCTGGTCTCCCCCTGGTCTCCCCCTGGTCTCACCTTGGTCTCCTCCTGGTCTCCTCCTGGTCTCCTCCTGGTCTCCCCCTGGTCTCACCTTGGTCTCCTCCTGGTCTCCCCCTGGTCTCACCTTGGTCTCCTCCTGGTCTCACCTTGGTCTCCCCCTGGTCTCACCTTGGTCTCCCCCTGGTCTCCTCCTGGTCTCCCCCTGGTCTCCCCCTGGTCTCCTCCTGGTCTCCTCCTGGTCTCCTTCACCTTTGGTCCTGGCTACAATAAACACCATTCTTTTTGTTCCCACTTCCTTTCTTTGCCTTTACAGCTCTCAGTTTAAACACAGCTGATCGGCCGAGTGCCAGCTGTGCCTCTGATCAGCGGCTCGTTACGGTCACACGTCTGAGGATTAAAGCTAGCTCTAAACTCTAAACTCTAAGCTCTAAACTGCTCCATGGGAAGGAACCTGGGGCCAAATTCCCCCATAGCAACTCCATAGCAACCAAAGAGCCAATAAAAAGCCGGAATGGTTTAATCCTGCCCTGATTTTTTTCATACACCGTTTCTTTGTTTGGATAAAGTTAGAGATTTTATGTTTTTCTTTTTGCTACAAACTGCAAAAAGTTGTGAAAAAGTATCTTAATTTGAGCACATTTTGACTGTGTTAAAACCAGATTTGCCAACGAGAAAAATCAGAATTATCTTGTTTTTAAAAAGACGCAAGACATGTCTCCCTTGGAATGAGACAAAATGGTTTGTCCCGTTGGAGAATATTGTTTAAACACAATCACAATGTGTCAGATTAAGATAAAAAACACTAAATTCAAGCATTAATTACCTCATATTTGATCATTTTTGCAGTGTATTTTGTTATTGTTATATTTTATTTTTGAGAATCCAGAAAAGCGCTGTAAAAAAACAATGCGTTTTACTTTATAACAGTTTTTCACGTCTGTCTCGTGGAGCTACACAGACATGTCCAAACTAAGGCCTGTGGGCAGATGTGGTGTGTGTGTTTGTGATGTGTGTGTCTGTGGTGTGTGTGTCTGTGGTGTGTGTCTGTGGTGTGTGTGTCTGTAGTGTGTGTCTGTGGTGTGTGTGTGTCTGTAGTGTGTGTCTGTGGTGTGTGCGTCTGTGGTGTGTGTGTTTGTGGTGTGTGTGTCTGTGGTGTGTGTGTCTGTGGTGTGTGTCTGTGGTGTGTGTGTCTGTGGTGTGTGTCTGTGGTGTGTGTGTCTGTAGTGTGTGTCTGTGGTGTGTGCGTCTGTGGTGTGTGTGTTTGTGGTGTGTGTGTCTGTGGTGTGTGTGTCTGTGGTGTGTGTGTCTGTGGTGTGTGCGTCTGTGGTGTGTGTGTCTGTGGTGTGTGTGTTTGTGATGTGTGTGTCTGTGGTGTGTGTGTCTGTGGTGTGTGTGTCTGTGGTGTGTGTCTGTGGTGTGTGTGTCTGTAGTGTGTGTCTGTGGTGTGTGTGTCTGTAGTGTGTGTCTGTGGTGTGTGCGTCTGTGGTGTGTGTGTTTGTGGTGTGTGTGTCTGTGGTGTGTGTGTCTGTGGTGTGTGTCTGTGGTGTGTGTGTCTGTGTGTGTGTGTCTGTGGTGTGTGTCTGTGGTGTGTGTGTCTGTAGTGTGTGTCTGTGGTGTGTGCGTCTGTGGTGTGTGTGTTTGTGGTGTGTGTGTCTGTGGTGTGTGTGTCTGTGGTGTGTGTGTCTGTGGTGTGTGTGTTTGTGATGTGTGTGTCTGTGGTGTGTGTGTCTGTGGTGTGTGTGTTTGTGATGTGTGTGTCTGTGGTGTGTGTGTCTGTGGTGTGTGTCTGTGGTGTGTGTGTCTGTAGTGTGTGTCTGTGGTGTGTGTGTTTGTGATGTGTGTGTCTGTGGTGTGTGTGTCTGTGGTGTGTGTCTGTGGTGTGTGTGTCTGTAGTGTGTGTCTGTGGTGTGTGTGTCTGTGGTGTGTGTGTCTGTGGTGTGTGTCTGTGGTGTGTGTGTCTGTGGTGTGTGTCTGTGGTGTGTGTGTCTGTAGTGTGTGTCTGTGGTGTGTGTCTGTGGTGTGTGTGTCTGTAGTGTGTGTCTGTGGTGTGTGCGTCTGTGGTGTGTGTGTTTGTGGTGTGTGTGTCTGTGGTGTGTGTGTCTGTGGTGTGTGTGTCTGTGGTGTGTGCGTCTGTGGTGTGTGTGTTTGTGGTGTGTGTGTCTGTGGTGTGTGTGTCTGTGGTGTGTGCGTCTGTGGTGTGTGTGTCTGTAGTGTGTGTCTGTGGTGTGTGTGTCTGTGGTGTGTGTGTTTGTGATGTGTGTGTCTGTGGTGTGTGTGTCTGTGGTGTGTGTCTGTGTGTGTGTGTGTCTGTAGTGTGTGTCTGTGGTGTGTGTGTTTGTGATGTGTGTGTCTGTGTGTGTGTGTGTGTCTGTGTGTGTGTGTCTGTGGTGTGTGTGTCTGTAGTGTGTGTCTGTGTGTGTGTGTGTCTGTGATGTGTGTGTGTCTGTGGTGTGTGTGTCTGTGGTGTGTGTGTCTGTGGTGTGTGTGTCTGTGGTGTGTGTGTCTGTGGTGTGTGTGTCTGTGGTGTGTGTGTCTGTGGTGTGTGTGTCTGTGGTGTGTGTGTCTGTGGTGTGTGTGTCTGTGTGGTGTGTGTCTGTGATGTGTGTCTGTGGTGTGTGTGTCTGTGGTGTGTGTGTCTGTGGTGTGTGTGTCTGTGGTGTGTGTGTCTGTGGTGTGTCTCTGTGGTGTGTGTCTGTGGTGTGTGTCTGTGGTGTGTGTGTCTGTGATGTGTGTCTGTGGTGTGTGTGTCTGTGGTGTGTGTGTGTGGTGTGTGTCTGTGGTGTGTGTCTGTGGTGTGTGTGTCTGTGGTGTGTGTCTGTGATGTGTGTCTGTGATGTGTGTCTGTGGTGTGTGTGTCTGTGGTGTGTGTCTGTGGTGTGTGTGTCTGTGGTGTGTGTTTGTGATGTGAGTCTGTTGTGTGACCCTGTGTGTGTCTATGGTGTGGCCCTGTGTGTGTCTGTGGTGTGTGTCTGTGATGTGTGTGTCTGTGCTGTGTGTCTGTGATGTGAGTCTGTGGTGTGTGTCTGTGTGTGTCTGTTGTGTGACCCTGTGTGTGTCTATGGTGTGACCCTGTGTGTGTCTGTGGTGTGTGTCTGTTGTGTGACCCTGTGTGTGTCTGGTGTGTGTCTGTTGTGTGACCCTGTGTTTGTCTATGGTTTGATCCTGTGTGTGTCTGCTGTGTAACCTTGTGTGTGTCAGTGGTGTGTGTGTGTATATGGTGAGTCCTTGTGTGTGTCTGTTGTGTAACCTTGTGTGTGTTTGCAGGATTACAAAGGGGACCGCACTCCTCACAGCGACGAGCGAACACAGACCGAGGAGCAGCACAGCAGCGACAGTGAGGGTACGCACACACCACACCGTAGACGCACAACACGGACACACAGCACACCACAGACACACAGCAAAGTCAGTGATCCCTTTAAGCTGCGCGTGTACACAACTGCATCGTGCTTTCAGAGAAAACTCTGTCCAGCACAAAACCAAAACCCAGGGTCCTGTGGCGCAAACGTGTTTCTACAGTGTATGGAGCGTGGTGTGTGTCTAAAAGGTTAGAGCCGAAAGCTGTGTCTGTGACGATGAGGCGCACAGTTCAGTAGAAAGTGAACTATAAAACACACCTTTACACTATGAACCGCACCAGCTACGTTTAAAAGACCAACCATGTCCACACACAGGCCGCACCTGAATATAAGCCGCAGAGAGACATGATTTATGACAGTTTCACTGTTTGCTTCCATCACTCATTCAATAAACATATATTATAAATATATTATAATATATTATAATATATTATAACATATTATAAGACCCTGCACTCCAGAAGCCACAGAGTTTACAGAACTAGAAACAAGTAACTTATTATTTTGTTATTACAATATGAAAACTTTGCAAAGTAAAAAACCTCTCTCACACTTTACAGAAGATAAAAGGTCTTATTGGACGAGCACGTATCACCAGAATGATTGACAGTTGGGAGGACCAATAGTCTTGATGATCCACCTGGAAGTAGAACATCCTCCTGTAGACCTTTTAAGATAAAACTTTATTGATCTCACAGTCGACAAACGTACAGAATGTTACATCTGGCATCAGTAGAATCACTCAGAAACATGTTAAACAGTGAAAACAATATTATGGAGTATCTTGTGCGATATAAAACTGTTAAAAAGCCAAACTGTTGCCGTGAGTGTGAATGTGGTCTCGTTATGGTCTTGTACAGGAGCTCTCCCTGCAGCCGGCAGCTACACCGAGGCCAGACCGTCCTCTTCTGGTCACATCAAACGACCCATGAACGCCTTCATGGTGTGGGCCAAAGACGAGAGGCGCCGCATCCTCCAGGCCTTCCCCGACATGCACAACTCCTCCATCAGCAAGATCCTGGGTGAGTCTCTGTGAGCACATGACTCTGTCTCTGTGAGCACATGACTCTGTCTCTGTGAACACATGACTCTGTCTCTGTGAGCACATGACTCTGTCTCTGTGAACACATGACTCTGTCTCTGTGAACACATGACTCTGTCTCTGTGAACACATGACTCTGTCTCTGTGAGCACATGACTCTGTCTCTGTGAACACATGACTCTGTCTCTGTGAGCACATGACTCTGTGAACACATGACTCTGTCTGTGTGAACACATGACTCTGTGAACACATGACTCTGTCTGTGTGAACACATGACTCTCTGAAAACACATACTGCTGTTATATAAAGTCACCTCCGTGAACACATACTGCTGTTATATAAAGTCACCTCCGTGAACACATACTGCTGTTATATAAAGTCACCTCCGTGAACACATACTACTGTTATATAAAGTCACCTCCGTGAACACATACTGCTGTTATATAAAGTCACCTCCGTGAACACATACTGCTGTTATATAAAGTCACCTCCGTGAACACATACTGCTGTTATATAAAGTCACCTCCGTGAACACATACTGCTGTTATATAAAGTCACCTCCATGAACACATACTGCTGTTATATAAAGTCACCTCCGTGAACACATACTGCTGTTATATAAAGTCACCTCCGTGAACACATACTGCTGTTATATAAAGTCACCTCCGTGAACACATACTGCTGTTATATAAAGTCATCTCAATGAACACATACTGCTGTTATATAAAGTCACCTCCGTGAACACATACTGCTGTTATATAAAGTCACCTCCATGAACACATACTGCTGTTATATAAAGTCACCTCCGTGAACACATACTACTGTTATATAAAGTCACCTCCGTGAACACACACTGCTGTTATATAAAGTCACCTCCATGAACACATACTACTGTTATATAAAGTCACCTCCGTGAACACACACTGCTGTTATATAAAGTCACCTCCGTGAACACATACTGCTGTTATATAAAGTCACCTCCGTGAACACATACTGCTGTTATATAAAGTCACCTCCGTGAACACATACTGCTGTTATATAAAGTCACCTCCGTGAACACATACTGCTGTTATATAAAGTCACCTCCATGAACACATACTGCTGTTATATAAAGTCACCTCCGTGAACACATACTGCTGTTATATAAAGTCACCTCCGTGAACACATACTACTGTTATATAAAGTCACCTCCGTGAACACATACTGCTGTTATATAAAGTCACCTCCGTGAACACACACTGCTGTTATATAAAGTCACCTCCGTGAACACATACTGCTGTTATATAAAGTCACCTCCGTGAACACATACTGCTGTTATATAAAGTCACCTCCGTGAACACATACTACTGTTATATAAAGTCACCTCCGTGAACACACACTGCTGTTATATAAAGTCACCTCAGTGAACACACACTGCTGTTATATAAAGTCACCTCCATGAACACATACTGCTGTTATATAAAGTCACCGTGAACACATACTGCTATTATATAAAGTCACCGTGAACACATACTGCTGTTATATAAAGTCACCTCCATGAACACATACTGCTGTTATATAAAGTCACCTCCATGAACACATACTGCTGTTATATAAAGCCACCTCCGTGAACACATACTGCTGTTATATAAAGTCACTGTGAACACATACCGCTGTTATATAAAGTCTCAGACACAGAGACGCTGCAGAGCTGCATTATTGGAGAAGAACTTCTACACAAAAAGCCGCTAGCTTAACTCCGTTAGCATCGAACTCCGCTACTTTCGCCACTTCCGGTGCGCGCCTAGTTTTCAGTCCCTGCGTCTGAAAACTAGAAAATGTACGTCTGGTGCACGAGGCGTCACCGTTCCAGCGTCGGTGTTGTGAACGCGCTATTAGAGAGCTACTTTCTTCAAACAAAAACATGTTAGAGAGCTACTTTCTTCAGACAAAAACATGTTAGAGAGCTACTTTCTTCAGACAAAAACACGTTAGAAAGCTACTTTCTTCAGACAAAAACATGTTAGAGAGCTACTTTCTTCAGACAAAAACATGTTAGAGAGCTACTTTCTTCAGACAAAAACATGTTAGAGAGCTACTTTCTTCAGACAAAAACATGTTAGAGAGCTACTTTCTTCAGCCAAAAACATGTTAGAGAGCTACTTTCTTCAGCCAAAAACATGTTAGAGAGCTACTTTCTTCAGCCAAAAACATGTTAGAGAGCTACTTTCTTCAGACAAAAACATGTTAGAGAGCTACTTTCTTCAGACAAAAACATGTTAGAGAGCTACTTTCTTCAGCCAAAAACATGTTAGAGAGCTACTTTCTTCAGACAAAAACATGTTAGAGAGCTACTTTCTTCAGACAAAAACATGTTAGAGAGCTACTTTCTTCAGACAAAAACATGTTAGAGAGCTACTTTCTTCAGACAAACACATTTTGGAGAGCTACTTTCTATAGACAAAAACATGTTGGAGAGCTACTTTCTTCAGACAAAAACATGTTAGAGAGCTACTTTCTATAGACAAAAACAAACTTGGACTTAGATCAAATAAATATGAAGAATATTGCAGACCTGGATTATATTTGTTTTCTCAGTTTTATTTTCTGAAGGATTGTCTCCGGTCTCTGTTCTGAGGCTCATCATATAAAAGGCTTTGCTTTCTTTTGTTCTGGAAGAACTGGAAACAAACCGGGTTAGGAGTGCGTGAGATCGCTGCTGCTTTTATTCACTATCGTTTATAAACCATCCTCAGAAGGACGTCAGGTTTGGGTAAAAACACATGTTTTTACACTTTTACTTTACTACACTACAGCTGCAGGGAAAAGAACCAACCTAAATAGTTTTTATTTAAAGTTTTTGTGCTAAATGATGCCACTAACGATGTAATAAAATCCACCAACTCTCAGAACACTTCTCACATGTTTGTAATGTTGCCTCGGTCACATGTTTAGGACCAGCCTCTCTCGGCCAATCAGCTCTCAGTGGGTACAGACCACATGATGTGTCACTGTGAGACGGACACTAACACTGGACTTTTGTTTTTAATGTCATTTTGATGGATTACAACATTATCATCTGAATTTTGTTTTTGAAATACCCCGCCCCCACATGCTCACACACACACACACACACATACACACAGAGACGCACACATGCTCACACACACACAGACGCACACACGCTCACACATATGCTCACACACACACACACACATGCACACAGAGACGCACACATGCTCACACACACACATACATACAAATTCCTTTCTATTGTGTGTGAGACACATGAAAATGGTCAGACCCTGACTCTCATTATTTATAATGTATTACAAAGTTAGGCATCAATTTCTAAATCCTTGAGGGAGCTCCTTGGGAGGTGGCGAGCTACATGCATAAACCAGTGTGGGCGGGTCCCGGCTCCAAAGTGGCCAAAATGACGTGCGCTGACATGCTGCAGTACCACCCCGGGCCTGTGGGGGTGGACCTGGAAGAAGAATTATTCGATGCTAACATATAGCATTGACAGACCTCTGGAAAACGTCTTAACAGGATGGACCTAAAGTTGTCTCTTGGTCCAAAGCTCCGTCCCACATGTGTGTCAATGCTGAGGGAGTGTTCTGGATAGGGATGCACCGAATCCAGGTTTTTGGGGTTCGGCCGAATACCGAATCCACTGGTTAAGATTTCGCCGAATCCGAACCCGAATACAGAATCCTATTCCATCCTCAGTCCATTTATGTTTCATACGCAAATGTTTTAACAGCGGCGGTGTTGTGTACTGTTTAGGGTCCTTACCACCACGAGACAAATGGGCATTGCAAATTAAACATGTAACTCGACCAGAATCTATTATTATAACATTTATAATAATCCCGCTTATCATTAAACACAAATACATTCAGTTCACAGCAGTATAAAACTTCAGAGATAAAGTACATATATTACTGTGCATGTCGTGTAGAAATAAGAGCTAAAGCTCCACACATGCATAAATAGCTTCCACTGGTTCAGGTCAAAACATTACATATATGGACATTTGAGAAATGTGCCAAACTCGTCAGAGACAAGTTGAGAGAAGCTAATGTTAAGAGGCTAGTTGCCTAAACACGGACTCACCAACTCTGCTTCATACGCAGCTCAGATGACAAGTACCTGGCACTGGGAATCGGATCCATAAAGTTGGTGAATAGGAAGTTAGTTTATGATCCATCAGAACCGCATTACAGGTGAAAACAAGAATCATAACATCCCCTTTCACCGACTAGAGCTAATTGGACCGCTGGGATCACATGACCAGGAAGAGACCTCAGCGCACCCGAAGAGGAACAGAGACCAAGAAGATATAAACCTCCGCTAAAGTGCATGTTTATTTACACTTCCGAACAAATCTGATTTCAGTGACGAATCCAACAGCCACAGCGCGCATAGTGTAAGTGCAGGGTTCGGGTTCGGTGGGGAAAAATTCTAAGGTTCGGCCAGAAACCGAACCCCGTCAAAAAAGCCAATATTCGGCCGAATCCGAACCCGAATCCTGGGTTCGGTACATTCCTAGTTCTGGACCAGTCTAGTTTAGTCGCTGTGGACTTTAGAAGTCACTTGGTTTAAATGAATGGAGCTCGTGCAGCTGACGCATGCACAGATGTGTTTTTTTTCACATTTTCCAGCCCCCGCGGCCATTTTGAATCACTCCATGAGAGCCTAATGTTTGGCCCATTAGTTAGAACGGCGGAGATAGGAGTGACTACGTCTGTTAATATATACGGCATATACACCCACAGACATTCCTTTCTATTGTGTGGTGCTTGTGTGTAACGTCTTCTCACAAACACACACACAGACATCTGCACACACACACACGCACACATGTGCACACGCGCGCACACACACACACACACACATCCAGGCCAATTACACTGAATCAATCTATGTCAATAACACACTTCAATGTTGTGCGACTCCACAGTTCTGAAGACAGTTCGTCAATCACATGTTTCTAAAGAAAACTGCTTCTGTTGTTCCTTCTACACAAGAAACACCTCAGGACTGAGACTGTAGACCCAGGACTGAGACTGTAGACCCAGGACTGAGACTGTAGACCCAGGACTGAGACTGTAGACCCAGGACTGAGGCTGTAGATCCAGGACTGAGGCTGTAGACCCAGGACTGAGGCTGTAGATACAGGACTGAGGCTGTAGACCCAGGACTGAGACTGTAGATCCAGGACTGAGGCTGTAGACCCAGGACTGAGGCTGTAGACCCAGGACTGAGGCTGCAGACCCAGGACTGAGGCTGCAGACCCAGGACTGAGACTGCAGACCCAGGACTGAGGCTGCAGACCCAGGACTGAGACTGCAGACCCAGGACTGAGGCTGTAGATCCAGGACTGAGGCTGCAGACCCAGGACTGAGGCTGTAGACCCAGGACTGAGGCTGTAGACCCAGGACTGAGACTGTAGACCCAGGACTGAGGCTGTAGACCCAGGACTGAGGCTGTAGACCCAGGACTGAGGCTGTAGACCCAGGACTGGGGCTGTAGACCCAGGACTGAGGCTGTAGACCCAGGACTGGGGCTGTAGACCCAGGACTGAGACTGTAGACCCAGGACTGAGGCTGTAGACCCAGGACTGAAGCTGTAGACCCAGGACTGAGACTGTAGACCCAGGACTGAGACTGTAGAGCCAGGACTGAGACTGTAGACCCAGGACAGAGACTGTAGACCCAGGACTGAGACTGTAGACCCAGGACGGAGGCTGTAGATCAATAACTGAAGCTCTAGACCCAGGACTGAGACTGTAGACCCAGGACTGAGGCTGTAGACCCAGGACTGAAACAATGATTACTTTCTTACTCACTGAATAAAAACGTATTGATTAGAATAGGGCTGACCGTGTGTCGCCCCCTGCAGGCTCGAGGTGGAAGTCCATGTCGAACCAGGAGAAGCAGCCGTACTATGAAGAGCAGGCGCGGCTCAGCAGGCAGCACCTGGAGCGTTACCCTGACTACAAGTACAAGCCCCGCCCCAAACGCACCTGCATCGTGGAAGGACGCCGCCTCCGCGTCGGCGAGTACAAGGCCATGATGAAGAGCAGGCGGCAGGAGCAGAGGGGCCCCTACGCACACAGGTACACACATATACACAGGTACAACTACACACAGGTACACACATATACACAGGTACAACTACACACAGGTACACACATATACACAGGTACAACTACACACAGGTACACACACGTACAGGTTCAACTACACATGGGTACAACTATACACACAGGTACACACACATACAGGTACAACTACACACACAGGTACACACACACAGGTACACACACACAGGCAGACACACACAGGTAGACATACACACAGGTACATCTACACACACACAGGTACACACACAGGTACATCTACACACACACAGGTACATCTACACACACACACACACACACACACACACACACACACAGGTACACACACTGGTAGACATACACACAGGTACATCTACACACACACAGGTACATCTACACACACACACACAGAGGTACACACACAGGTACATCTACACACATACAGGTACAATTACACACACAGGTACACACACACACAGGTACACACACACATAGGTACACACACACAGGTAGACATACACACAGGTACATCTACACACACACACACAAAGGTAAACACACCGGTACATCTACACACACACACACACACACACACACACAGGTACACACACACACACATGTAGACACACAGAGGTACATCTACACACACAGGTACAACTACACACACAGGTACATGTATACTAGGGGTGGGAACCTAAGGGTACCTCACGATACGATGCGTGATACAAAGCTCACGATAACGATTGTATCAAGATATGACGATTATTGATATATTGTTCAGGAATATACCATAGGCCAATGTACGGCATACATGAAATAGAAAAATGTTAAGTGAAAAAATACACTTTAGTTCATGATAAATGGAATGGAGGTGTGTAATGTAGCCATATATTAAGTAATGATACTAGTGCTGTCCAACGATTAAAATATTTAATCGCGATTAATCGCATGAATTTCATAGTTAACTCGCGATTAATCGCAAATTAGACACACATTTGTATCTATTCTTTATGTCCCTTGAATTATCATTTTAATACTACTAAAAAGTGAATAGGCGTGCTGTGTGCAATTGCTTTTTTTAATATTTTGTAAATGTGTTCATGTAAATACTCTATGCTGTTTCTCTGTTTACTTTCGGTATATCTATGACTGTATACTGTTTGCTTGTATTGCCTTTTTTATTAACCCCTCCCCCCCATCTCCCACTTCATGTCCCCCCCCCCCCTCCTATGTGCCCTTCTGGGTTTCTTCTTTGGCCCCCTGTATCTCCAACTACATATTGTTTGCAATCTCTGTCTACAATGTATCTGAACTAGTCCTTTTCTTTGTTTCTATTTTTTTTTTCTGTATATGTGTTTGTCAGCAATAAAAAGTAAAAAAAAAAAACAATGACGCCGTTAATATTGATTTGCGTTAACGCGTTAATAACGCGATATTTTGGACAGCACTAATTGATACTAATAAATAAAAATAAAAAAAAATAAAAAAAAATATATATATATATTTATATATATATATATATATATTAGTACTATGGCTTGTTATACCTGAGTTTAAATCTCTCACACTCTGCTTCCTCCTTGCAGCCAATCAGAGCCGCAGCAGATCCACTACCCGCCGGCCGACGCCCAGTACCACGGAGGGACCGCCCCCGTTTCCGTGGCGACCATGTCCTTCCACCCGGCGCTGCTGGAGCACTACTTGCCCCAGGTCGGCTCCGCGGTACGGCGAGCCGAGGCCCAGGCCCCGCCCCCTCCGGCCTCATCCTGGGACAGAGACCTCAGAGACCACACCCCCTACAGCGCTGGGGAGGAGAGCGACGGGGGCGAGCGCAGCGAGGGAGAACTGGTGCTGCTTACTGACTGAGAGAGAGAGAGAGAGAAAAGAGAGAGAGAGAGAGAGAAAAGAGAGAGAGAGAGAGAGAGAGAGAAAGAGAGAGAGAGAGAGAGAGAGAGAGAGAGAGAGAGAAAAGAGAGAGAGAGAGAGAGAGAGAGAGCTCAGGAGGTTCTTTTAATAAGACACAAGTGTAAAGAGGCGAGTTCTGCTCAATGACCACATGAAGAAGAAGAAACTACTCTGAAAACCCACTGCGAGAAAATGAGAAACCTCTGCCAGACCCAGATAGAGGGAGGATGGATGGACTGTAGACCCAGGACTGAGGCTGCAGACCCAGGACTGAGGCTGCAGACCCAGGACTGAGGCTGTAGACCCAGGACTGAGACTGTAGACCCAGGACTGAGACTGTAGATCCAGGACTGAGACTGTAGATCCAGGACTGAGGCTGTAGACCCAGGACTGAGGCTGTAGACCCAGGACTGAGGCTGTAGACCCAGGACTGAGGCTGTAGATCCAGGACTGAGGCTGTAGATCCAGGACTGAGGCTGTAGATCCAGGACTGAGACTGTAGATCCAGGACTGAGGTTGTAGACCCAGGCCTGAGGCTGTAGACCCAGGACTGAGGCTGTAGACCCAGGACTGAGGCTGTAGACCCAGGACTGAGGCTGTAGACCCAGGACTGAGGCTGTAGACCCAGGACTGAGGCTGTAGACCCAGGACTGTGATAATGAATCAGTCCTCACCTCTTTTCACTTGTGTCTGATTAAAAAAACCTTTAATTTTTTAATAAAAGGCGTCAGAACTTTTGACAGTTATAGAAACAGCTGGTTTGGTTCGGCCTTTTGTAACTTAGGGATTTCTAACTAAAACATGTGAGAAAATGTTCCACCTTCAGCAGGTTGGAGATCTGAGAACTGGAAAACACTGGTCTGTGTCGAGGAATTAGACAATCATTCTTTCTCCAGCAACACAAAAAATGTCAAAAATTGTGGATTTGCTCAGAAGAGTTTGTGTGACTCCGACAGAGCAAAGGTCACCGCAGAAAGACGTGTTTTTAATTAAATTCAGCTTATTTTTGTGTAGCTCTCATCACAACAGCAGGCGCCTCGTGGACATTACACAGCTGTCGATTCGCCGACAACAGATCAGAGAATCTAACAGTTTCAAAGTCAAACGACCATTTTGTTTTATCTAGTTTCTATGAAGATGTTCCCGAGCTGCATCGCTATGAGTTTGTTTCAGTCCAATTTATCAAAAATCCCTTTCATACAGAGTCAAACAACTAACAGATTTTAAATAAGTGTTAAGAACCGCCACAGACCCTTCACGGCTGGACTTTTCCCATTTTTAAATTAAAAACCTAATTCATGCACTTATGATTTATACCGTCAGCCTTTTAGCGTCATTGCCTCCGTTGTTTTCAGACCAAATTGTGTTTTTTTTGCTTGTCCCGAAAGAGCATTTGTATATCCTGCATTCATGCCCATCGCCCCGTTTCCACCAGCCCTACTCGGCCCTACTCGGCCCTACTCTACTCGGCTCTACTCCACCTGCCTGTGTTTCGATTATGCTTTAGTATCTGGTACCGTATCCTAGCAACCTACACACAACAAAACAGTAAATGAGACGTTTGTTGCGTAACCATGGCTCCCAGCGCCCAATCACGGGCAGTGTCAATTTAGCACCAGCTCGGTCTGGATAGAACCAGGACCAAGATGGACTAAAGAAGGACCTGGTACTGGTTAAACAGGGACCAGTGGAGACGCTCCCAATCAGAGTAGAGTATACTGTAAAAAGTGACTCCAAAAAGAACAAAAGAATGGCTACTATAAGAAGAAATTGGTTTCAAGCAAAATGGATCAGGATTTTTCCACTTCAGAAAAGATATTATTACTTGTTATTCATATTTTTTTTAATATCTAAAGCTGCATGAGTAAAAACAGCCAAAAAACAGTGTGATTAAATACATACACTGAAATCAAGTGAGCTACGCTAGTCTATATATTTACTTTTTGCAGTGTAGGGTTAAGTGGGGCTGGTGGAAATGGGGCTTTTTGTCATTATCGGCATGACGACTGGTGAAAGTCAATTTTACTTGAATTGAACAAAGTCACTTGTTAAAAAGACCATAATCACACACAGATCTCACAGTGTAGTGTCGTATTGTGTTGTGTTGCTTTGATAATTTTGCTATATTTCGAAAAAAGTATTGAAAAAGGTTAATTTCACTGTGAAAAGTTTTTAGCACTTTTCTCATAAGGTCTGAAATGATAAATTATGCTAACAGGCTGTGGTGATAAGCTACATTATCACACACGCACACACTGATACACACACACACACACACACACACACACAGAAACAACTTTAAACACGCCTCGTTGCTGCCCTCTGGTGGTGTGTTCTGGTAAATGCAGCTCGATCCAGTTTATTTTTTTTCTCCAAAATGCACTTAAATGATTAATTTTAAAGTCTCCCTCACACGCCCTGTCCTCTGTCGTGCTGTAAATGCTGTATTTGTGTATTTTGTTTTTTTATAGTTTTCTCTTTATGTGTTTTATTGTCACATCAATCCGGTGTCACACTCAGACACACGCACACACACACTCAGACACACACACACACACACGCACTCACACGCACACGCACACGCACAAGCTTGTAATAGTTCCTTGTACCATTTCCTTCAGTCCATCTTCTACTGACTGAAAAGTTGGACCAGTTTGGGAGGAGCCGTGGTCTGGGAATCACCAGGCGTCAAAACGGAACCACGCGGACAGTTTTACGGTGGTCGTGACAGCTGTGCTCATAAGTTTACACACCCTGCGAGAATGACGGATTTCGTGGCCATTTCTCAGAGAAAATGAATAATGAGAGGGTTATTTTTGCTTTTGGTTGAAGTCAAATAGTTTTTCTAAGCCCAAAAAAAGCCGGTGTCTGTAAACTTTTGCCGAGGGTTATTCATATAGTTCATGATGGAATGTTAATAATTTAAAACAAAAGGATAATCCAATATTGATGACGTCAAACAATTTAAAAATGTGCTTGTTTTGGACAATAAGTTCTCATTTCCGGCACAAAATAATAGATATAGAACACTGTGAAAAATGAGGTAATAATTGCTGGAATGGAGTTTTTTTTTTTAAATCTTACATTCTGACTGTGTTAAAATAAGTCAGACTGTGCCCAAATTAAGACATTTTTGCCAAATTTGAGCAATTTTTGACTAATTTTTCATCACTATTTGATGGTATCACAAGGACGACTTAAAAAAAAAAAATTATGTCCAATCCGGTGAAGGTTAAACTTAATGCTGGACGAAATACCAAGATTTTAGAACGAGTCCTATTGTTGTTATTATTAGCATGAGTGTAGATACAAAAACAGCTGAATTGGGAATCAGGCTGGATTCATATCTGATTTTATACTTTGACACCATCTTGAGAAACACTTTTTGTCTCTCAGTGAAGAAATTGTATTCAGACTTGGAGATCATCTTAAATTAAATTAAAATAAATAATAACTTTGCTTCACACCATCGCCACAACAAAGCGTGTGGCCCATAATCTTCTATTCTCTGAGAAATGGCTCAAAATCAAACTTGACAGATGTAAAGGTGAGTCACTGGTCCCTGTGATAGTGACTGCTCTGGAGGCTCCACCTGGTCCCTGTGATAGTGATTATGGAGGCTCCACCTGGTCCCTGTGATAGTGACTGCTCTGGAGGCTCCACCTGGTCCCTGTGATAGTGACTATGGAGGCTCCACCTGGTCCCTGTGATAGTGACTGCTCTGGAGGCTCCACCTGGTCCCTGTGATAGTGACTGCTCTGGAGGCTCCACCTGGTCCCTGTGATAGTGACTGCTCTGGAGGCTCCACCTGGTCCCTGTGATAGTGACTATGGAGGCTCCCCCTGGTCCCTGTGATAGTGACTATGGAGGCTCCACCTGGTCCCTGTGATAGTGACTATGGAGGCTCCCCCTGGTTCCTGTGATAGTGACTATGGAGGCTCCACCTGGTCCCTGTGATAGTGACTATGGAGGCTCCACCTGGTCCCTGTGATAGTGACTATGGAGGCTCCACCTGGTCCCTGTGATAGTGACTATGGAGGCTCTCCCTGGTCCCTGTGATAGTGACTATGGAGGCTCCACCTGGTCCCTGTGATAGTGACTATGGAGACTCCACCTGGTCCCTGTGATAGTGACTATGGAGGCTCCACCTGGTCCCTGTGATAGTGACTATGGAGGCTCCACCTGGTCCCTGTGATGGTGACTATGGAGGCTCCCTGTCGCCCCCTGCTGATGTAAATATAGAAGAGACTATATTTTGTTTATAAGAGCCAATGTAATTTAATGATGTACATTTACGTTTTCAAAGATGTCTTTTTTTTTCTGAAAAACAATAAATTGGTTGTTACTAAAACGTGTGTTTCTTTGATGGAGACGTCTCTGTTCAGCCATCCATTCATTTTCTTCCCCTTAATCCATTTCTGGGTCGGGGGTGGCAGTCAGAGCACCAGCCCCTCACTGATCCTCCTGCAGGAGCTGAGATCTTTCAGTGGGAGCTTCAGGCAAAGTGGGGTTAAGTGTCTTGCCCAAGGACACAACGACAGCAGTCATCAGTGGGAGTCGTGAAGTAGGTCTTACGGTGGGATTGAACCCACGACCTTCAGGCTCAAAGGCCAATGCTCTACCAACTGAGCCACTGTCGCCACATAATGGTTCAATCCTTTATAGTCCCTGGATAGATTTTGCAGATCCTCTCAGACCTCTGAGGCTAAGCTGTGCAGGGCAGGGCCTGGTTAGTACTGTGATGGGAGACCTCTGGGATCAGCAGGTGCCACAGTGGGGCGGCTACAGCTGTAAAGTGCCAAACTGCGGTTGTGTCCATAGGCAAGACACTTTAAAATGAGTGTGTGTGTGACTGGTTGCCTCACTTGTCAGTGTGCCCCAGGGCAGCTGTGGCTACTGTAGTAGTTTATCACCACTGTTTCGAGTGAATGACGTCTCCGAGTGTCCAGAAAAGCGTTATATAAATCCAATGAGTTATCATTAAAAACTTGAAATAAGTTTTAATATTTTGAAGATGTGAGCCATAATCATTAGAACAAAGTGTCGATCATATCGACACTTATTTAACCAGGAAAGATGTCAAGAACGCATTATTAAGGCAGTTTTTTATTTAACAGTTCTCAAGTGCCAAAGAGGCACGTTCTGGGTTAAACTCTTTAATGACCTGAAATGGGACAAAAATACGAATCCGGTTGTTGAGAAATGTTACCAGATTCTGCTCTTTCTGCTGAAACTTCAGATCCTGCGGAACAATTATTGCTGCACCATTGAAAGTGTGTTGGTTCTGTGGCTGTGTGGATTGGTGACATCACAGACCAGAGAGACCAGAGAGACAGAGACCAAGGAGACACCAGAGGACCAGAGACCCCGGAGAGAGAAAGGGACCAACGAGAGACCAAAGAGAGACCAAGGAGACCAGAGAGAGCGGAGCGAGACCAAGGAGACACCAGAGAAAGACCAGAGAGACCAGAGAGACCGGAGAGAGAAAGAGACCAACGAGAGACCAAAGAGAGAGAGAGACCAAGGAGACCAGAGAGACCAGAGAGAGACCAAGGAGAGTAATCTTTGTGTTTTCAGCCTCACGTATGGAATGGAAGAAAAGCGAGTGGTTTCATTTGATACTTTTAATGCAAATGTTTCACCGACAGCTGCAACAAGTGCCTTCTTCACAGTAAATCAACAATATTTACACATGGTCCTCCTTCAGAGCAGCTGTCTCCTGCCGCAGCCCGACGTCACTCTGCTCCATCAGTACATTCTCAATCTCAAAATGATTTACTGCAAAAAAAACCATATACAGGCCGTCGTTCTGCAACTGCTCAAATTTCACTAAAAAGAATCACAAAATAAATAAATGACTTTAAAAGCGACGTACATGACACCGATGGCTTCAACAGATCCGCTACAAGAATGCCATGTTTTCTCAGAGAAACTAGGGTTATTTTAAAATCTGTTGGTTTTCAGTTCCTTCATCGTCGGTTTTTACTGCACAAAGACGGACCCTTCGTTAAGAGACTAAAACATAATAAATTAAATTCACAGGTAATAGTTAAAATCAAACGTTTCACTACGGAAATGTCCTCATTGTCTGTGCAAAGCCAAAGCAAATCCCACAACAATAATTTAGTAAAATGAGAAGACAAAAAAAGAATCACAGCGTTTTCTTTTGTACATTTGGAATTTAAAGGGACAGTACGTAATATTTCACTCTTAGAAGTCGGATAAAGTCTGTGTTAAAAAGGCATCTAGGAGGATTTTCTACTTCTGGGTGGAAATGTAACTTTATAATCTGTAACTGTGTGTAAATTTTGTGCAGGACCACCTTAAAAAAGAGGTTCTTAATCTCAATGGGACTTTTCCCCTCCCAACTGTCAATCATTCTGGTGATCGTGCTCGTCCAATGAGAGCAGAGCGTTTGTGGAGAGGGCGGTTCTTTTCTAAAATTTGAAGAAATCCTCGTATAAACCAACCAGCAACAAACAGGAAACCCAAACTGGAGATTGATTCTGCTGATTTCTGATTGGCTCGTTGGTCAGATTTAGATATTATGGGTTTCATGTCCATTGTGTTTTTGCCGTGGTTCTGTCTTCTCTGTCTGGTGCACACTGGGGTAGTCTTGCACAGTTTTTCCAATGTGGTTTTACTGTAAATGGCAAATACAATTCTTGCTCCATTTTTAACTTTTGTTCAGAAAAGATCAGACATGATTTGTACATGTGACCTGTTTTCTGGGGACAAATATTAAAGATGGATGTTATTTAAAAAGAAAATATTACAGACTCTCCCTTTCCTTTTGCAGACCGTGATGAGTCCGATGCAATTGTATAAAGTCAGAAATAAAAAGGCTGATGAAGTCCCGGGTTTCTGGAGGAACCACAGGCCAGTCGTTCACGGGGTCAAGTGCTCTTTCACAAACCAAAATGAAAGCTGTTGTCGCTGCTAAACTCCTGTCGTCAGACGTCCTGCGCTCGGCCCCAAACGCTCAATAATTCACATGTGGTCACTGGAGACGGGGCGAGACACACTGCGGCGAGACACACTGCGGCGAGACACACTGCGGCGAGACACACTGCGGCGAGACACACTGCAGAGACACACTGCGGCGAGACACTGCAGCGAGACACACTGCAGAGACACACTGCGGCGAGACACTGCAGCGAGACACACTGCAGAGACACACTGCAGAGACACACTGCGGCGAGACACACTGCAGAGAGACACACTGCAGGGAGACACACTGCAGAGAGACACACTGCAGAGAGACACACTGCAGCGAGACACACTGCGGCGAGACACACTGCAGAGAGACACACTGCAGAGAGACACACTGCAGGGAGACACACTGCGGCGAGACACACTGCAGAGAGACACACTGCAGCGAGACACACTGCGGCGAGACACACTGCGGCGAGACACACTGCGGCGAGACACACTGCAGAGAGACACACTGCAGAGACACACTGCAGGGAGACACACTGCAGGGAGACACACTGCGGCGAGACACACTGCAGAGAGACACACTGCAGGGAGACACACTGCAGGGAGACACACTGCAGGGAGACACACCGCGGCGAGACACACCGCAGGGAGACACACTGCAGGGAGACACACTGCAGGGAGACACACTGCAGGGAGACACACTGCAGGGAGACACACTGCAGGGAGACACACTGCGGCGAGACACACTGCAGAGAGACACACTGCAGCGAGACACACTGCAGGGAGACACACTGCGGCGAGACACACTGCGGCGAGACACACTGCGGCGAGACACACTGCGGCGAGACACACTGCAGAGAGACACACTGCAGAGACACACTGCAGGGAGACACACTGCGGCGAGACACACTGCAGAGAGACACACTGCAGCGAGACACACCGCAGAGAGACACACCGCAGCGAGACACACCGCGGCGAGACACACCGCAGAGAGACACACCGCAGAGAGACACACTGCAGGGAGACACACTGCAGGGAGACACACTGCAGGGAGACACACTGCAGGGAGACACACTGCAGGGAGACACACTGCAGGGAGACACACTGCAGGGAGACACACTGCAGCGAGACACACTGCAGGGAGACACACTGCAGGGAGACACACTGCAGGGAGACACACTGCAGGGAGACACACCGCGGCGAGACACACTGCAGAGAGACACACTGCAGGGAGACACACTGCAGGGAGACACACTGCAGGGAGACACACTGCAGGGAGACACACTGCAGGGAGACACACTGCAGGGAGACACACTGCAGGGAGACACACTGCAGGGAGACACACTGCAGGGAGACACACTGCAGGGAGACACACTGCAGGGAGACACACTGCAGAGAGACACACTGCAGCGAGACACACTGCAGGGAGACACACTGCAGCGAGACACACTGCAGGGAGACACACTGCAGCGAGACACACTGCAGGGAGACACACTGCAGGGAGACACACTGCAGAGAGACACACTGCAGGGAGACACACTGCAGAGACACACTGCAGAGAGACACACTGCAGGGAGACACACTGCAGGGAGACACACTGCAGCGAGACACACTGCAGGGAGACACACTGCAGGGAGACACACTGCAGAGAGACACACTGCAGGGAGACACACTGCAGGGAGACACACTGCAGGGAGACACACTGCAGGGAGACACACTGCAGGGAGACACACTGCAGGGAGACACACTGCAGGGAGACACACTGACCGCTCCATGGGCCCCACTTCTACTCCAGAAATACTGTTACACGTTTGTGGTGGGAAAATAAAACAATAAATAAATAAAAAACAGTTCTGTTCAGTATAGCAATTTTTTAAGCACGCAGTTAAATAAATACAGTAAAGCAAAGTATTTCAATAATTATCCGTTTCCCTTTTTTCTTAGTTTTCTCTGGTTAAAATACTTCTTTGGGGGCGCTTGTTGCTGTGTATTCAAGTTCAGACTGTAATAAATGTCACATTTGAGGTAAAGTAGTAATATGTAAGATTTTCATTTCAAGTTATCATTAAAGGGCCCTAATCTGTCATCATTAAAGGGCCCTAATCTGTCATTAAAGGGCCCTAATCTGTCATTAAAGGGCCCTAATCTGTTATCATTAAAGGGCCCTAATCTGTCGTCATTAAAGGGCCCTAATCTGTCGTCATTAAACGGCCCTAATCTGTCGTCATTAAAGGGCCCTAATCTGTCGTCATTAAAGGGCCCTAATCTGTCATCATTAAAGGGCCCTAATCTGTCATAATAATAAACAAAAGCAGTTCAGAGATATTTGAATTTCTAAATTACTTTTCCAGTCTCTAAATCTTGTTATTGTTTTCATTTCGATGTCCCGCCCTCCACCGTTTCACCAATCAGAAAGTCTGTGATTCGGGCAAAAGTATTCGGGTAAAGTACCATGTGGCGCAGAACTAAAAATGGTCTTGTTTTGTCATTAATGAATTGAGAATATAACCAGGATTTCTATCTTTGTGAAAAAGGTGTTGGTTATAGATTTGTTGTTGACAAAACTCTTGTCTATTCAGCTGTTATGGTCCCAGCTGGATTCGTCTGCATATCTGGCAACCTGAGTCAGGGAGAGTGGGAGAGGCTGCAGTAGCACTTTGGCCACACTTTTACACACTGCTCCTTTAAGTATAATTTTCCTCTGTGTCAAATGTTTTGAATATTATCAGGGACATGAATCGCAATATATCACCGAATTAAATCACAATATTAGTCTGTGTATTGTCTTTTCTATGGACCTTGAACCTGGAATAAAGATTTACAACTACATTACTTGCTGTATCGCAATATATTAAAAATCACAATATATTGAACCGTGGCCTAAATATCGCAACACTATCGAATCCTCACGTTTCGTCTGATTCCCTACAGTGTGTTTCAGTCGTGTAAAGAGGTCAGATGTGATGGAGCTGCCAGATGTGCCACTGTTTGTATCCGTCATAAATAGCTAGAACTGGGAGCAGAGTTGAGGGCGGTTGGGATTTTCCAAAAGCTTTAAACCGTTCAGTGGAAAGGTTATCCGAGCGCTTTGTAATGCGACCATAAAAGTCACGCAGGTGGAAAACCATGGGGCAGGGACGGACCAGCTGTTCTTCAGACTCAAGAGTACGAGCCGGGTCCTCTGTTCTGGGCTTCTCACACTACAGACTCTCAGCCTTTAGAGTCAGCAGGGAAGTGGAACAATAGTAATGAATGAGATAGAAAAGATAGCAGGTGCTGTCACATAGTAAGAAGATACCAGGTGATGTATTTCTATGTGACATCACCTGGTATCTTTTCTATGTGACATCACTGGTTATTGAGCAGTAGCTAGACGTGGCTTCCATAATAAACTTGTTAGCAGCAGCGGAACGCACTAAAGCAGAGGAGGCAAGCTGGTCCTGAAAGGGTCAGTGAGGCTGCGGGTTTTCATTCCAACCAAGCAGGAGCAAACAGACTCCACCCATTTCCTCAGTAAGTCCAGTCTTGTGAGAGCAGTGAGAGAGACCAGAGGGGGACCAGAGAGGGACCAGAGAGAGAGACCAGAGAGAGAGACCAGAGAGAGACCAGAGGGGGACCAGAGAGAGACCAGAGGGTGACCAGAGGGTGACCAGAGGGAGACCAGAGGGAGACCAGAGAGAGACCAGAGAGAGACCAGAGTGAGACCAGAGGTTGACCAGAGAGAGACCAGAGGGTGACCAGAGGGGGACCAGAGGGTGACCAGAGGGGGACCAGAGAGAGGAAACCAGAGAGAGACCAGAGAGAGAAGCCAGAGAGACCAGAGAGAGAGACCAGAGGGGGACCAGAGAGAGACCAGAGAGAGGAAACCAGAGAGAGACCAGAGAGAGAGACCAGAGAGAGACCAGAGGGGGACCAGAGAGGGACCAGAGAGGGGAAACCAGAGAGAGAAACCAGAGAGACCAGAGAGATAAACCAGAGAAACCAGAGAGAGACTAGAGAGACACCCCAGAGAGAAACCAGAGAGTCTAGACATAGACCAGAGAGACGCTCCTCTCTGACAGAGGACTGAGCTGTTCTGGAGGTCCTTTATGACTAAGCTCTTAGAAATAATCAATGACTCTTCTGGCCCCTGGAAAAGCCATGTTCCAGCTTCTTCCCTCTGGCAGAAGATATCGTTCGTCGAGATGCAGGACATCTCATATGTTAACCTGAAGACCTGAGGAAGTGGGCGGAGTCTGTTGTGCTCCTGCTTGGTTGGACCTAACCCCTGCAGCCACTCAGTCCTGTCTGGAACCAGTCTGACAGCCCTGCGCTAAAGAGAATAAGTAGACATAAGTCTTAGAAGTAAATTCACTGCAAAAATCCTGCAGTTGCAAACACTTCCCCAAGATGGAAGATACTAGACACAGAGAATGTGCACATGTTTTGGTCTCAGCCTGGAACACAGTAAAAGTCTGTGGCCTTCATCGACTCGCCACAGTTTGTGCCTGTGCGACAAACAGGAAGTGTTCAGCTGCCCCGAAGAGGAGGAGGACAGGTCAGAGAGACTCACGCTCACACTTTGATGAATGGACTCAGAACAGACAGAGATGGAAGTTAAAAGAAGCACTTGCAGAAGAAAATAGCATTGGTCCAAATCATTAAGTCCAACTACAGTCTCTGACCCGCCGCCGTTTTATTCTGGAGTCTGGAGCGCCATCACCGTCGGCTTGGTTTTGAAGTACTGGTTGAAACGTAGAACAGCATACCTTTGAAAGATGGAGGCAAAACACAGAGATAAGTCACAGATCGGATGAACATGGAACAAATCTACAATGAAAGGGTCTTTGATGGGTCAGGGTCATTTACTGTAAACATTATCGAACGTAGTGACGCCTATCTCTGCCGTTGAAACTAAGGCCTCCACTTTCGCCTTCTGTGGGCCTTTTCAAAATGTGAAAAAAACACATTTGCACATGTTTCAGCTGCACTAGCCCCATTCATTTAACATTCTGAAGTCCACAGCGGCTAAACTAGACTGGTCCACCAACAAAAAATCCTCCATCAGCATTGACAGCATCTGGAACCGAGCGTCGGGCCAAGAGCTACTTTTGGATAATTCTCTTTCCGGGTACACCCCCACAGGCCCGGAATGAGATTGCAGCATGGACCTTTTGGAGCCGGGACCAGCCCCCACTGGTCAGCGTACATGGTAGGGGAGTAAGAAAAGACTTGCGATTGTTCAGCACTTAGGGCAATTTGGTCATTCAAAGCTGTAGACACAGTCCAGTCAGAAATGTTTTTAGTTTTTAGTTTACTTACTTAAATCACTTCATTCTTTCAGTAAATAATGCAAGTACAGAATTATATCGAAATGTATCTTAATGTTGGCTGAATATTGTAATACATATATTTTATTGTGAGCTGAATATTGTGTATCGTATAATATCGTGTGAGATTAGTATCGCTACACCTGGTACATGGATATATGCTGTGTTTTTTACAGTGTGAAATCCTCTCTCACTGACAGACCGTCACTCTACAAGGTGAGGAGAGCTCTTTAAACTTACCCGAGAAAGTCAAAGTCGATGGAGGAGTACTTGGCCTGGATCAGGGCCCAAAATCCCCAGAAAAAGTGAGATGCCTGGATAAAGAAGGACAGAGAAGGACAGATGAGCGTCATACTGCCATTACCTGCATCTACGTCAACACTATATATGACTAAACTATACTCACCGTGCTCGGTCACCAAACTCACAACTGATTTAAACCCTATACAATTCTGTCTGTGTCATGAATCGTTCTCTTCACTGCGCCATCTAGTAGTCATAATCCAAATAAAAGCGTCTTGATGATTATATTAACATTTCCAGTGTCTTTGTAAAGTCCTCAGAGACGACTGCTGTTGTGTAATGTAAACAGTAGTGATTTTATGGTTTTACTTAGTCTGGTCTTATCCATCCGTACTCTCCGCTCAATCATCATGTCCTGCATGTAACGTCTGGGTCTGGTCCCTGGGTTAGCGATTACAATCGGTCGTATTCCATCCGACCAATCAGAGAGAGCGGGAGGCGGGTGTTGTAGTTAGTTGTGGGTGACGTCAAGAGTTTGCGTCGAACGGGAAGGTCGTAGTTTGGCAATGGTGAAGAATGCGATAGTAAAGTAATCCGGTCTGGTTCTATCAAGAAATTGAAGCCGGAGCAAGAGGAATGTTTAGCAAATGTAATCGGCGGAAAAAATTGTGGCGCTACTCCCCACTGGCTCCGTTAGCGGAAAAGGAGATGGCTAAAGCTAGGCTAAATGCTAAATGCTATCGACTCACTCGGGTGCATTACATACGTCACGGTAAACTCAGATCCAATCGTTTCAATCTGCAAAAGGAGTTAGCCCTCCCCAACTGTTCACAGAGTCAATGGAGCACCCTCAGATCTTAGTGCGACATGTGATTTGTACTATGGTGTGGTACGGCCAGGCTAGGTTTTACTTGGTTTTACTTAGTCTTTTATTGTGCAGCACTTTGGAGACTGTTTATGAAATGTGCTGTATAGATAAAGTGGCCTCACCAGAGCGAACTTGTTGACCTGCACGTACAGCGTCTCCACTTCTCTGTCGCTGAGCTCCTCGTTCTTGTTTGTGAATCCTTTAAACGCCTGAAGATAAACTCTGAGCCACTGCATCTGCATCTCACGGCTCGGATACAGCCCAAAGTCAGGCTCTGCCATTCCTACAACACACTCCCACCATCAGAGACAGATCATACAGAGGGAGAGAGTACAGAGAGAGTACAGAGGGAGTACAGAGAGAGACACAGAGAGAGACAGAGAGAGACACAGAGAGAGACACAGAGAACAGAGAGAAACAGAGAGAACACAGAGAGAGTACAGAGAGAGTACAGAGAGAGTAAAGAAACACAGAGACACAGAGAGAGACACAGAGAGAGTACAGAGGGAGACACAGAGAGACACAGAGAGAGACACAGAGAGAACACAGAACACAGAGAGAGTACAGAGAGACACAGAGAGAGTACAGAGAGAGACACAGAGAGAGTACAGAGGGAGACACAGAGAACAGAGAGACACAGAGAGAACACAGAGAGAGTACAGAGAGAGTACAGAGAGAGTACAGAGAGAACACAGAGAGAGTAAAGAAACACAGAGACACAGAGAGAGACACAGAGAGACACAGAGAGAGACACAGAGAGAACACAGAGAACACAGAGAGAGTACAGAGAGACACAGAGAGAGTACAGAGAGACACAGAGAGAGACACAGAGACACAGAGAGAGACACAGAGAGAGACACAGAGAGTACAGAGAGACACAGAGAGAGACACAGAGAGAGAGTACAGAGAGACACAGAAAGAGACACAGAGAGAGACACAGAGAGAGAGTACAGAGGGAGACACAGAGAGAACACAGAGAGAGACACAGAGAGAGTACAGAGAGGGACACAGAGACACAGAGAGAGACACAGAGGGAGACACAGAGAGAGACACAGAGAGAGTACAGAGAGGGACACAGAGACACAGAGAGACACAGAGGGAGACACAGAGAGAGACACAGAGAGAGACACAGAGAGAGACACAGAGAGAGAGTACAGAGAGACACAGAGAGAGACACAGAGAGAGAGTACAGAGGGAGACACAGAGAGAACACAGAGAGAGACACAGAGAGAGACACAGAGAGAGACACAGAGAGAGAGTACAGAGGGAGACACAGAGAGAACACAGAGAGAGACACAGAGAGAGACACAGAGAGAGACACAGAGAGAGACACAGAGAGAGAGTACAGAGGGAGACACAGAGAGAACACAGAGCAGACTGGAGGAGCACAGGGAACACACCGGCGAACTCGTTGAAGTGGTTCCCGATGTCAAAGGCCTGATAGTTGTAGCTGGAGTATTCATAGTCTATGAAGCGCACATGACCTGAAAAACACACAAAAAGCACCATAAAAATAAGGTACACTGCAAAAAGTGATGAAAAATGAATCAAAAGTTGCTCAAATTTGGATAATGTACTAGCCTGGCTAACGCCAGACTGCAGTGTGCGCTCGAATCCTTTCGAACTTCGTCTGGCGTTAGCCAGGCTAATAATGTACCTTAATTTGAGTCGGAATGTGCTCAAATTACGATAAAAACCGCTTGATTTAAGTATTTTTTACCTTTTATTGGATCATTGTTTGCAGTAACATTTATTTTTATAGAGACTTTCCTATAAATCTTATTTATTTCTATAAATCAGTTTAGTTAAAATCCTTGACATGAAAAATGTAGTTACATTTCTGAAATATAATATAAAATATGGAGACACACTGGAGCCTTTTGCAGATCGGGTTTCAGATTTATATTAGTCTGATGTCACCGTGACAGATCACAGAGTACCCAGGGTACACACAGAGTACCCAGGGTACACACAGAGTACCCAGAGTCACAGAGTACCCACAGAGTACCCAGAGTCACAGAGTACCCACAGAGTACTTACAGAGTACACAGAGTACCCACAGAGTACACACAGAGTACTCACAGAGTACTTACAGACTTCACAGAGTACCCCCAGAGTACACACAGAGTACATACAGAGTACCCCCACAGAGTACCCACACAGAGTACCCACACAGAGTACCCCCACAGAGTACCCACCCTCTTTGCTGTTGTAGATGATGTTTTTGCAGAGGATGTCGTTGTGGCACAGAACCACAGGGGAGCTCAGTGTAGAGAGATGCTCCTTCATCCACACCATCTCCTGCTCCAGCACGGCCTGGCTCGGCACCTCCTGCTGGATCCTGGAGGACGCAAACACTTGTTAGAGACACATTCAATTCAAATAACTTTATCTGTGAGGAACTTCAAAAGCAGACGGAGCACCAGGGGATCCATCACAACACAAGATATAAATAAAACACAATAAAAATACAACATCTCCTTCAGTCGAAACACCTGTACCTGTGCGCTCTCAAGGACCTGTACCTGTGCGCTCTCAAGGACCTGTACCTGTGCGCTCTCAAGGACCTGTACCTGTGCGCTCTCAAGGACCTGTACCTGTGCGCTCTCAAGGACCTGTACCTGTGCGCTCTCAAGGACCTGTACCTGTGCGCTCTCAAGGACCTGTACCTGTGCGCTCTCAAGGACCTGTACCTGTGCGCTCTCAAGGACCTGTACCTGTGCGCTCTCAAGGACCTGTACCTGTGCGCTCTCAAGGACCTGTACCTGTGCGCTCTCAGGGACCTGTACCTTTGTGCGCTCTCAGGGACCTGTACCTTTGTGCGCTCTCAGGGACCTGTACCTTTGTGCGCTCTCAAGGACCTGTACCTGTGCGCTCTCAAGGACCTGTACCTGTGCGCTCTCAGGGACCTGTACCTGTGCGCTCTCAAGGACCTGTACCTGTGCGCTCTCAAGGACCTGTACCTGTGCGCTCTCAAGGACCTGTACCTGTGCGCTCTCAAGGACCTGTACCTGTGCGCTCTCAGGGACCTGTACCTGTGCGCTCTCAGGGACCTGTACCTGTGCGCTCTCAGGGATCTGTACCTGTGCGCTCTCAAGGACCTGTACCTTTGTGCGCTCTCAAGGACCTGTACCTGTGCGCTCTCAAGGACCTGTACCTGTGCGCTCTCAAGGACCTGTACCTGTGCGCTCTCAAGGACCTGTACCTGTGCGCTCTCAAGGACCTGTACCTGTGCGCTCTCAAGGACCTGTACCTGTGCGCTCTCAAGGACCTGTACCTGTGCGCTCTCAAGGACCTGTGCCTGTGCGCTCTCAAGGACCTGTACCTGTGCGCTCTCAAGGACCTGTACGCTCTCAAGGACCTGTACCTGTGCGCTCTCAAGGACCTGTACCTGTGCGCTCTCAAGGACCTGTACCTTTGTGCTCTCAAGAACCTGTACCTGTGCGCTCTCAAGGACCTGTACGCTCTCAGGGACCTGTACCTTTGTGCGCTCTCAAGAACCTGTACCTGTGCGCTCTCAGGGACCTGTACCTGTGCGCTCTCAGGGACCTGTACCTGTGCGCTCTCAGGGACCTGTACCTGTGCGCTCTCACGGACCTGTACCTGTGCGCTCTCAAGGACCTGTACCTGTGCGCTCTCAAGGACCTGTACCTGTGCGCTCTCAAGGACCTGTACGCTCTCAAGGACCTGTACCTGTGCGCTCAAGGACCTGTACCTTTGTGCGCTCTCAAGGACCTGTACCTTTGTGCGCTCTCAAGGACCTGTACCTGTGCGCTCTCAGGGACCTGTACCTGTGCGCTCTCAAGGACCTGTACCTGTGCGCTCTCAGGGACCTGTACCTGTGTGCTCTCAGGGACCTGTACCTTTGTGCGCTCTCAGGGACCTGTACCTGTGCGCTCTCAAGGACCTGTACCTGTGCGCTCTCAAGGACCTGTACCTGTGCGCTCTCAAGGACCTGTACCTGTGCGCTCTCAGGGACCTGTACCTGTGTGCTCTCAGGGACCTGTACCTTTGTGCGCTCTCAAGGACCTGTACTTTTTGAGCTCTCAGGGACCTGTACCTTTGTGCGCTCTCAAGGACCTGTACCTGTGCGCTCTCAAGGACCTGTACCTGTGCGCTCTCAAGGACCTGTACCTGTGCGCTCTCAAGGACCTGTACCTTTGTGCGTTCTCAGGGACCTGTACCTGTGCTCTGATGGAAGCAGACTGTAGTGTGAGAGTCTGATACTGTAAATACGTCTGTTAGAGTTGGTAGAAGTAGTCGTTTTGCTAACTCTGTTTTGATGAACACAAAAGCTGCTGTTGGACTCACAGAGCTGATGTAGAGCACAATTGATGTTCATACGTGTGTTTTGCATTTCTGTTTTGATTTTCTAAACTGTTTTGGCGAATGGAAAACTTTGCAACCTTCTGAGACGTCTGCGGTTCAGATTTAGGGCTGTTCAAAAAATAAATTGAAGTGAATTGAGTTAGTTGGAAAACAAAAAGGTCCGAGTCACTGAGTTAAAGGAACAGGCCCCGTGTTTACATCCTGACACATGTTCTTACCTTAGACTGATATGAACCTGTCTGGTTTGTGTCCGTGTGCTCTGTCATGCAAACAGAGCACAAACACAGCCTCTTTCACAGACTGTATAGTACCAAATCAGCTCCCGTTAGAAGCTCCCAAACTCTTCCACGTGTTCCCTTTAAATACAGTTATGTGACATGTGACTCTACAAAGTATAGAAAGACAGAAATGGTAATAATACAAGGAGCGAGAGAGAGAGAGAGAAGTCTTTGGAGTTAGTGCGTGGACGAAGTGCTCCTCGTATTATTACGCCTCACAATATAGTGCCCCTTTTTATCCGCTGAGAAAATGGACATGTTACATTTCTGTGTTACTATACTTTGTAGAGTAACACGTCACGTAACTGTATTTAAAGGGAACACGTGGAAGAGTTTGGTAGCTTCTAACGGGAGCTGATTTGGAACTATACAGTCTGTGGAAGAGGCTGCGTTTGTGCTCCGTTTGCATGACAGAGCACATGGACACAGACCAGACAGGTTCATATCAACTAGTCTAAGGTAAGAACATGTGTCAGGATGTAAACACGGGGCCTATTCCTTTAAAACAAAAATCCTTTATTATTGAGGGGACATTGCAATAACCGCACAAAGATATAGGATTTATTGTTTTTATTTTGGTTTTCCATGGATCCTTGAAGAGCTCCTCACATTTACCTTACATTTTTTGCTCCCTGTACGCACTCATTCCTCTTTTATTTTTTCAGTACTTTTAATTTTAGGAGACTCCAATCTGTAGCACAGAAGCAACCAGTAGCTCGCCACCCCCTTCCAAGTAGCTCCCCAGAGAATCCTGAATGAGTCATTGCATCTATTTGAACTATACATCTTTTCATTAATGCAGGGAGACTGTATAGTATGGGCACTGTATATAGTCGTTACATAGACCACAATTAGGCTAAAATAAGTAGCTCTCTGCCATTTCTGTTTTATGAAAGTAGCTCCCCGATCCAAAAAGGTCAGACCCATGTTTTAGTGATTCTTATGGTGTTTGCAAAGAGGCGGATCCATAACACCAGAGTACATTAGCTAAATGAAGCTAGCACAGATGCCACGGCTCTGTGCTCTCTTTGGGGTGCAGTGTCCCGCAGCTGGAACAACAGGGACAGGATCTAAACCCGCCGCCGGTCACTATGGCAACAGTGCAGTGCCATGTAATAAAGTTATGACAACATGTGTTTTTTGCATTTACAGTCGTTGCTGGACTATAAGCTGCTAATCTATTCAAGTTGTGTTAACTAACTTTAATCTATATGATCATCCGGCCAAAGAATGCATTTGTGTTTTGTTAACGACGCTGGAGAATAAGGACAGCTCCATCTACAGCTGTTGGACTCCAGAGCTGATGAGGTAACACACATTCCTACTTCCTGGTATTTTTATGTGAACAGCAGAGAGAGAGACATAGGGAAATAGAGAGGCTGAGAGAGACACACAGAAAGAGAGAGAGACAGAGACACACAGAGAGAGAGGCAGTGAGAGGCATACAGAGACATACAGAGAGAGACACACACACAGAGACGGAGAGAGAGTCACAGAGAGAGAGACGGAGACATACAGAGAGAGAGAGACACACACACAGAGAGGCAGACAGAGAGACATACAGAGAGAGAGACACACACACAGAGAGGCAGACAGAGAGACATACATAGAGAGAGAGACAGAGAGAGAGACATAGAGAAGAGAGAGGCTGAGAGAGATACAGAGAGAGACACACACACAGAGAGAGGCAGACAGAGAGACAGAGACACATGGAGAGAGCGAGAGAGTCACACACTGAGAGAGAGACAGAGAGGCAGAGAGAGAGACACACGGAGAGAGAGAGACAAAGAGAGAGAGAGATAGATAGAGAGACAGAGAGAGGCAGAGACACAGAGAGACACACCGAGAGAGACAGAGAGAGGCAGAGAGAGGGACACACAGAGAGAGAGACAGAGACTTTTATAGACTTTGTTGTTCAAAATGGATGTTCGGTCTAAATGTGGAAAAAAAAAAACACTTTCTTTTAAAATGTAGTTGATGCAGTTCATATCCAGAAAGTACTGAACCTACAAATCAAACCCAGAAGGATTTAAAGTTGGAGAGTTGTGAAAAAGTATTAATTTAAAGGTCCTATATCACGCTTTTCTTCATGTTTCACACTTAATCCAATACACATGTGTGATATTAATGTGTATGATACACCACACAACAATCAAAGCTTGTGAGATTAGAGCCATCTCTTGTATAGAGGTGACGTCACCTCGACTCAAACGATCCAGAGAAGAGTCTGCTCCTCTGCCTGTGAGCCCGCCTCCCCCCGCCCGCACGCTGACGTAGCATCACGCTTTATCGTTTATCACCTGTACTTAGTAATTTCATACATAAGAATAAACTTTTTCCAACAATGACAATCCGTCACATCGAGCCCTATGTCCTCGATGCACAATCAGACCCTAGTTATTTAGTTTACAGAAGTATACAGCGAGTTAGCGTCACTACTCACAGATCGAGGGGGTCCGTGTTACGTGTTTTACCGTGGGAATAACGTGTTTCCACATCAGCCTTTGAGTAAGTCCAGTTCCATTGTCCCTGTAGTTCTGGAACAGTCTCAGTGAAGTGTCTCAGATGAACCGGTATTATAATAGATCCATGAGATGAACAGATGAAAAAAGTCGAGCCGCTTTCTTCCTCTTAGGGCCAAATAGTGTGTCACATATTTACACCCATAACACACTTCATTCAAGTTGACGTGATCCTAACACTTTCAGTCGCTGACAAAAGCATAAAAACAGCAGCTCTATGTGGTGTCCGGAGACCAGACCACAGACGCTGGACTCGGGAGCCGGAGCCTGTGCGCTCTGATTCGCTGTTTTGATCCGTCAATCACCTCCCGCCGGCTTTTAATTTATTTTTATTTTTATTATTTTTGACAAAAAACAGCATACTAATTGTGTATTGTTTACCCCGTTTTGACAAAAGTATTTAACAACTATTTTAAATACAAAGCAAACGGGGTCATGCGCGTCATCAGTGTGGTTTTCGTCACTGAAGTGGACCCGAGCGTTTCTGTGCCTCACGCTGGGGAAGGAGACAGATTGCTCTCTTACAAAAGATTGACAGAATCAATGAATAAACTACCGTGGGCTTGTGTATGAAGGCCAAATAGCATTGTAATCATGTTTAAAGCAGAGAAAAGTCAAAAACCGTGATATGGGCCCTTTAATGTTAAACCAACGCGACCACTGAGCAACAGCTAATGAGACTAAAGGAGAGAATCGAGAGTCAGGCAAAGAAGAAAGACTTCAACGACACAACTGAAGCTCTAACCTCTGTTGGTGAATAAATAATGGTGGGAAAACGATTATATCTAATATTTGGTGCACCCACTTCGACACCGTAGATACAATAGCACAAGCAGTAAATATATGTGACTTCAACAAGAGTCTGGTTGGAACAAACATGTTGTGAACAAATCAGACCACAACCTGCCGTCTTTATCTTATTAGAACACACTTATTATCTTTTAGATACTGAGAGCTGATTGGCTGAGAGAGGACTGGCCTCTTGTTCTCCGAAACAGACAATCTAAAGATTTGGCAGAAGCAAAAAATACATAGATAGATAGAAAGAGATAGAAAAAGGGCTGTGGCAAACCATATTTCTGATTACTGACATGTTGCACTCTTTGACCCGTGCTTAGACTTCCTGACAAAACATCCTGAAGTGGTTTCATAACCCAGATAATTCTATAACTATCATTGTTCTCAAAGTATTCTAAATCCACCCAATAACAAGTCAACTATGTTCTGTGGCATCACTTCAGCTTTGCTTAGGTCAAATGTATTAAAAATGTCAATATTCACGGACAGACATTTTTGGATCCAAACAACAGATCTATTAATTGATCTGCCTCTGCCTCTGCCTCTGCCTCTGCCTCTGCCTCTGCCTCTGCCTCTGCCTCTGGCGACTTCTGCATCACACGTGATCGTCCTTCATCATAACAATAATAATGCGTTTGTTTTATATAAACACTTTTAGGACACTAAAATCCGCTTCACATCAGTATTCTTTCACTCTGAACACAGTAGTGATAAGCCCCTGACGTCTGCCCCTGACGTCCGGCCCCTGACGTCTGCCCCCTGACGTCTGCCCCCTGACGTCTGCCCCCTGACGTCTGCCCCCTGACGTCTGCCCCCTGACGTCTGCCCCCTGACGTCTGCCCCCTGACGTCTGCCCCCTGACGTCTGCCCCTGACGTCTGCCCCTGACGTCTGCCCCTGACGATGCTCACCTGATGTTGGACGCCTCGTTAGTGAACTCCGTGGCCACCAGAGAGAAGTACTGCCTCATCTTAATCCACAGGTTTGGTTTTGGGATGCAGCCGTTGTGAGCGTGGATGGAGTGGATTCGAGCCATTTCTCTGGCGATGAGTTGACACAGCGTGGGGTCCCTCACGTCCTGCGTCCCCAGAGCGTCTCCCTCCATGAACTCGTAACAGATGCCGTTCTGAAAGGTGCAGTAAAGTCGCGGAGCGCAGCCGTTTGCATGTAGCACCTGCAGTCACAGAAATACACTGTTATTACTGGTGGAGGAAAAATATTTTCTGTATTGTAATATTTAGCAATTAGATCAATACAGAAGCTGTTTACTCTGGTCATTTCCACCTGAGGTTTATGTTACTCATGATGTCTGCTTTCTGTGACTCTACTCCAGGGGTCTCCAACCTGTCAGGAGCTACAAGTATCTTCCCAGAACCTGCTCTTTTCCACCTCTGCTGCTGTGACCTAAAAGGCTGTTGCACTCAAATACAGTTTTAGAATGATCTATCATTTGTTTTGTTTGTATGGAGTTTCTGCTGCTACTGGACACTTGAATTTCTCCAACAGGGGATCAATAAAGTATCTATACATCTATTTGATTGTATTTGAATATTGTAAGTGAAGTGCTGGGAGCTCCCATTCATGAGAGTCGTCTATTCAGAGACTGATGGTGTCTGTAATAAGGTCCTGTGTTCTGAATTATAAAGGCAAATATGTTTGCACTAATCCCCCTCAGTGTTTACTTGCAGACCAAATTAAATGTCACATTTGAGTAGAGTCTGAATTTCCTCAATTTATGCCTTTGAAAAAACTAAGGGACATAAATTGCAATATATCACAGATTGAACATCAAGGTCTGCTGTATCGCAACATGTCAAGAATCACAATAATATTGAATCGTTACGTCTTTGCCAACTCCCACCTCTAACTGTTTTCATCCATTTCAAGAGTGGCAGAATCTGCAGAAAGTCACTCTACCTGAAAACTTTTGAGTTCATTATCTCTGTCGACGATCAACTCTGTCTTGTTCCCATAAACTCGCACCAGAACCACATCCTCTGGACTTTCATCCACGTAGCAGCCCACCAGCTTGTTGGTCGTCCCATCTTTGAAAAGCTGGAACAGAGGAGAATGTTTTATTAGAGACACAAAAACAACCTCTTTCTACAACTGTGTTACCCTGGTCTCTTCTGGTCATTTCCTACATGTGCGTCTGGTCTTACCATGTGTAAACTCTGGTCCATGATCATTTCCTACATGTACGTCTGGGTCTGATCCTAGTGGCTGCAGTTTCCTCGGTTGAATCTCCTCCGACCAATCAGAGAGCGGGGGAGGCGGGTGTTGTAGGTCTGTGTCGGTGACGTCAAGAGTTTGTCTGAATTTGCAGGTTGTAGTTTGTCGGAGAATGTGATAGTAAAATAATCTGTTCTGGTTCAATCCAAATATCAAGAAACTGAAGCCGGAGCAAGAGGAATGTTTAGTAAATGTCATTGAAGCAGAGAGTGTGGCTCTACTCCCCACGGGCTCCGTTAGTGGCAGAGGAGATGGCTAAAGCTAGGCTAATGCTAAAGCTAGGCTAAATGCTAAAGCTAGGCTACATGCCTCACTCTCTTGGGTACATTACATACATCACGGTAAACTCAGATCCAATCGTTTCAATCTGCAAAAGGACCTGCTCCCACCAGACCTTTCCAGACCTTTCCAGACCTTTCCAGACCTTTCCAGACCTTTCCAGACCTTTCCAGACCTTTCCAGACCTTAGTACGAAATGAAGACCAGGCTACAACTGTGTCACTCTGGCTCTTTGAACGAACACTTTATGTATGAATTTCTTTCAACCATTATCGCCCACTCACGCGTCTGGCATTCCATGCGTAGCTCACCACAAAGATGGGTATGCACTATCGCTGTTATGACCTCACAGAAGCATGTCTGGGCCGCCGCATGACCTGGGCCGCCGCATGACCCTGGGCCGCCGCATGACCCTGGGCCGCCGCATGACCCTGGGCCGCCGCATGACCCTGGGCCGCCGCCGCATGACCCTGGGCCGCCGCATGACCCTGGGCCGCCGCATGACCCTGGGCCGCCGCCGCATGACCCAGGGCCGCCGCATGACCCTGGGCCGCCGCATGACCCTGGGCCGCCGCATGACCCTGGGCCGCCGCATGACCCTGGGCCGCCGCATGACCCTGGGCCGCCGCATGACCCTGGGCCGCCGCCGCATGACCCTGGGCCGCCGCCGCATGACCCTGGGCCGCCGCATGACCCTGGGCCGCCGCATGACCCTGGGTCGCCGCCGCATGACCCTGGGCCGCCGCATGACCCTGGGCCGCCGCATGACCCTGGGCCGCCGCATGACCCTGGGCCGCCGCCGCATGACCCTGGGCCGCCGCCGCATGACCCTGGGCCGCCGCATGACCCTGGGCCGCCGCATGACCCTGGGTCGCCGCCGCATGACCCTGGGTCGCCGCCGCATGACCCTGGGCCGCCGCATGACCCTGGGCCGCCGCCGCATGACCTTGGGCCGCCGCCGCATGACCCTGGGCCGCCGCATGACCCTGGGCCGCCGCCGCATGACCCTGGGCCGCCGCATGACCCTGGGCCGCCGCCGCATGACCCTGGGCCGCCGCATGACCCTGGGCCGCCGCATGACCCTGGGCCGCCGCCGCATGACCCTGGGCCGCCGCCGCATGACCCTGGGCCGCCGCCGCATGACCCTGGGCCGCCGCATGACCCTGGGCCGCCGCATGACCCTGGGCCGCCGCATGACCCTGGGCCGCCGCATGACCCTGGGCCGCCGCCGCATGACCCTGGGCCGCCGCATGACCCTGGGCCGCCGCATGACCCTGGGCAACCGCCGCATGACCCTGGGCCGCCGCCGCATGACCCTGGGCCCCGCCGCAAACTGTCATCAATGCACTGGCGGACTGCACCCGGCCTCCAGACTGCAGTAAACACGCAGCGATTCTGACAGTATTCAACTGAAGTAATAACAGACAAAGCCTGGTCAGCAGAAAGATGACGATGAAGAGATCCTGTATTCGTCCCACAGTGGGGAAGTTTCAGTGCTGCTTCAAAAGATACAGAACAATACAATACAATACACTACAATTTGTTCTATTATAGCCCTAAATCACAACAGTATCATCTCAGAGGACTTGACAAAACCATTGAAATCACAAACACAGGTCAGAAAATCAACAGTTAAAACACAGAATATAGAACACATGTTGATAAATGTCATACATGTAGAATGTTCAAGTGTCCTGGATCACCACAGTCCTTGTTAGACACTAACTGTCCAACAGACTCCTGCATCAGAGGAACAACTCTAAAACCCAGTGGGAGACCTCAAGGAGATCCACATTGAGAGATGGATCCGCACCACATGGATGAACGGGCTGTAGATCCAGGACATGCACAAGACCAAAGCAAGCACAAGATATGAGAACAATTACTCTTTACTAAAACAAAATAAAATCTGTAACTAAAGATAAATAAATGAGGAGCTCTTTCAGTGGAAGACTGAGGCATACCGCAGGGCCTTTATCCCCACCGCTGTCAGACTGTACAATAAGTCACTTTAAGTCACTTGCAATAGGACTGAAAAAACTGCACTACTATAGACACTTTTTATTGTACATTATGCTGCATTTAACATTTGCCCATTTCTTTCTTTTGCACAATTCTTGAGTGATTCTGTCCATGCCAGATGTGACAGATTTCTCCTGTGTGAGATCTATAAAGTCTATCTTATCTTATCAGGTAAGTCATGGATAAAGGGGAAGAAAATGAATGGATGAAGGACGTCTATATTTTGCTAAAGTCAGAGATTTTGTTATCAATTTTTGCTTCTTCATTATGCTAAAGTTGGAGATTATAGATTGCTTCCTTATTATGCTAAAGCTTTATTATTATTATTTGTATTTACTAGTTACTAGTTATTGTTCATTTATCTTGTGCTGTGTTCTTCTCATTCCTTCTGTTCTGTAACCGCTGATGCAACACTGACATTTCCCCGCTGTGGGACAAGTAAAGCATCTCTTAATCTTAACAAAAAAGCAAGCATTAAAACTAGAAACTATGTGAAAGATGAAATGTGTTGAACTTGGCAAGAGGTGGAGGAGCAGCTTGTTATCGAAAGGATCCGCAGTGTTTTGGTTGGAGAAACAGTCAGAGCTCGTTCCCTGATCACGTTTCAGATCCTGGAGAGTTTAAAACCGTCATCAAGTCATCTACAGAGAAAAGCGTTCGGTTTTCATGTCCGCCCAGGCCCAGAGAAGTCATTTAAGAATGTAGAGACCAGAGAGAGACCAGAGAGAGACCAGAGAGAGAGACCAGAGAGAGAGAGAGCAGAGAGAGACCAGAGAGAGACTGGAGAGAGAGACCAGATAGAGACCAGAGAGAGAGACTGGAGAGAGAGACCAGAGAGAGACCAGAGAGAGACCAGAGAGACCAGAGAGAGAGACCAGAGAGAGAGACTGGAGAGAGAGACCAGAGAGAGACCAGAGAGAGAGACTGGAGAGAGAGACCAGAGAGAGACCAGAGAGAGAGACTGGAGAGAGAGACCAGAGAGAGACCAGAGAGAGACCAGAGAGAGAGACCAGAGAGAGACCAGAGGGAGACCAGAGGGAGACCAGAGACAGACCAGATAGAGACCAGATAGAGACCAGATAGAGACCAGATAGAGACCAGATAGAGAGACCAGATAGAGAGACCAGAGAGAGACCAGAGAGAGACCAGAGAGAGACCAGAGGGAGACCAGAGGGAGACCAGAGGGAGACCAGAGGGAGACCAGAGAGAGACCAGAGAGAGAACAGAGAAGGACCAGAGAGAGAGACCAGATAGAGACCAGATAGAGACCAGATAGAGACCAGATAGAAACCAGATAGAAACCAGATAGAAACCAGATAGAAACCAGATAGAAACCAGATAGAGACCAGATAGAGACCAGAGAGAGACCAGAGAGAGACCAGAGAGAGACCAGAGAGAGACCAGAGAGAGACCAGAGAAAGACCAGAGAAAGACCAGAGACAGACCAGAGAGAGACCAGAGAAAGACCAGAGAGAGACCAGAGAGAGACCAGAGAAAGACCAGAGAGAGACCATAGAGAGACCATAGAGACACCAGAGAGAGACCAGGGAGAGACCAGAGAGAGACCATAAAGATACCAGAGAGACCAGAGAGAGACCATAGAGAGACCAGAGAGAGACCAGAGAGAGACCAGAGAGAGACCAGAGAGAGACCAGAGAGGTGCTCTGGTCTGAAAGAGGACTGTGATCTGTGAGACCAGAGAGAGAGCCCAATGAAAGTAAATATATATGTTTTAGCTTGTTTTATTTATGCACTTGTCTGGTGCACTCTGGGAACTTTTGCACATGTATTCCAATGTGGTTTTACTGCAAATGGCAAATAAACTGAATCTGAATTACTGAGAGACAAAGCTTGTTTGTGCTGTTGACCAAGTGGAGCAAGGACTAAAAACAACATGGAAACATTTAACACAGAAAACACTGAATGAGACAGAATCCTGAGCACTATCCCACTCAGGCATGTGTTGTTCCGCTCTCCTGACTGAAACATATGCCTGACCCAGAGGCCACAGAGATAACAACAGGTTTATAACATACTGTTCACTGATCTGCAAATGTCACCGCCAGCTGCCTACAAGATGACAGCGAGGCTTGACATGGCATTTTTGGTTACATTTTTTACCAGAAAAAAAAAAACAAGCACAATCTAATACAGCATAAACTTAAACGTATATGGGAGGATTTTCTACTTCAGAGGTGGATCATCAAGATTATTGGTCCTTCTAATTGTCAATCATTCTGGTGAGACGTGCTCGTCACATCAGACCAGAGAGTTTTGTTCAAAAAGTCCTAAAATTTGGGGGAAAATCTACATATAAATATAATTTTTAAGTGTGGTAAAAAATAAAATCCCAACGGTCGTAGAAGAAGCTGCTGTTATAACGCACTAGAATGAATGGTCTCTCACACAGTGCTAGCCGGTGATGCTGCGGAGCTGTCACTCTTAGCTTAGCCTAGCATTAGCATTAGCATTAGCATGGAGCTAGTTCTGGGGCTTTACCTTGGTCTTCACATCCCCGGTGTCCCACGCAGGTCTCAGCTCTTTGATCAGCTTCAGGGCTCCTTCCGTTACATTGTGCTCCTCCACATAAACCGGGATCTTGGTGATGGCCGGGGCCCCCAGGGGCACATGGATCTGAGTCTCCATAATAATAATCAACTGTTAATCTCCAAGTCCTACGGGGGTATTTTTAGACCTGTCTGCATTAACACAGGGCGGAGAGGTGTGTGTTGGGGTAGGAGCTGAGCAGGTGGAGGGTCGGTGCAAAGAGCGGTCCTGGGAGCAGCTTTAGCCGGGGACAAGTGCGCGTTCAGCCGGGGAATGGATGCTGCTGACCGGGTTTCTGGAGCCGAGAGCCGCTTCCTCCTGCGCGGCTCCGCCCACACGTGGATCATCCGATGAGCGAAGGTTTCCGAAGGTTTCCGAAGGTTTCCGAGTCACCCCAATATCAGTGATGCACAGTGTCCAGCAGAGGGCAGCATCGTATATGACAGAGGTCTCCCACCTTTTTCATTCTGAGAGCTACTTTTATGCCACAGAAGAAGCAGAGAGCTACTTTTATACAACAGAAGAGGCAGAGAGCTACTCCTTTTTGCAGACGTAATAAAAATCTATGTAGTAATCATGACAAAACATGGAAAACAGTATGATAGATGTGTTATCACTCATCATGTGTTTAATTCTAAATCCTTTGGTGAGCTACCTGAAAGGGGCTGGCAAGCTACTGGTAGCTCCCCAAAGCAGTGTTCCCCAACCTTTTTGAGCCGTGGCACAGCTTTTCCATTGAAAACACCTCCAGCTGAAAATGTCACAAACAGGAAGCATGAAAACTTGAATTAATAATACAAAGTCAAGATCATCAAAGCGTATTGAATAACCAAACTGTCAGGACGTGGGAAGGAGGAGGACTCAAAACAGGAATGCAGGAAAAATAATGATTTAACGACAAGATAAAAATAATATCCAAGGTAAAAACAAAATCCAAATCCAAAACGAACACAGGAACAAGGAACCAGGACACAGACATGCACATTGTTTTTCTTTTTTAAAACCTTTTGGGTATTATTGGGTCATTTCCAAAGGCACATCAGACGACATCTCACTGAAACACATGAACACATGATTTGCTTGTTACGATACACACTACAACTTTATTACGACGATTATTAGGAGTAGCTCTTTGCTATTTCTGTTGGGTATGAGTTACTCCCCTTTAAGTTAAATTTAAAGGTATATAGGAGGATTTTCTACTTCCGGGTGGATCATCAAGACTATTGGTCCTTCTAACTGTCAATCATTCTGGTGATACGTCCAAGAAGACCAGAGAGTTTGGTTCAAAAAGTGGAGAGGGCGGTTCTTTCCTAAAATTTGGGAAAATCCTCCAATATGCCTTTAAAGGAGCAGTATGTAAAAGTGTGGCCAAAAGTGGTACTGCAGCCTCTCCCTCTCTCCCTGACTCAGGTTGCCAGATATGCAGACGAATCCAGCTGGGACCATAACAGCTGAATAGACAAGAGTTTTGTCAACAACAAATCTATAACCAACACCTTTTTCACAAAGATAGAAATCCTGGTTTTATTCCTTGTTTTGTCGTTAATGATTTGAGAATCATAACGAGACCTTTTTTAGTTCTGCGCCACATGGTACTTTACCAGTGAGATTAGCTCCACACGGTGAGTTCTGGCGCCCGGATCACAGACTTTCTGATTGGTGAAACGGTGGAGGGCGGGACATCGAAATGAAAACAATAACAAGATTTAGAGGCTGAAGTAATTTAGAAATTCTATCTATATCTCTGAACTACTGTTATCAGTTAAATAGGTATTGGAAAAGAGCAGTTTATTATTATGACAGATTAGGCCCTTTAATGATGACAGATTAGGGCCCTTTAATGATGACAGATTAGGCCCTTTAATGACGACGGATTAGGGCCCTTTAATGATGACAGATTAGGGCCCTTTAATGATGACAGATTAGGGCCCTTTAATGATGACAGATTAGAGCCCTTCAATGATGACGGATTAGGGCCCTTTAATGATGACAGATTAGGGCCCTTTAATGATGACGGATTTGGGCCCTTTAATGATGACGGATTAGGGCTCTTTAATGATGACGGATTAGGGCTCTTTAATGATGACAGATTAGGGCCCTTTAATGATGACAGATTAGAGCCCTTCAATGATGACGGATTAGGGCCCTTTAATGATGACAGATTAGGGCCCTTTAATGATGACGGATTTGGGCCCTTTAATGATGACGGATTAGGGCTCTTTAATGATGACAGATTAGGGCCCTTTAATGATGACGGATTAGGGCCCTTAATGGTGCGTTCAGACCAAACGCGATTTCTGCGGCCAAATCGCGTCTATCGCGCGGCTTGAGCCGCTTGTGACAAATTGTGGCAGCCGCTGTCACAGAGAAACTTGGCCGCGCGGCCAGGACACTAGAGGGCAGCCGCTGTCACAGAGCGTTGAGAGCGTTTAGGGGCGGGGCTTGTCTCTTTTGCCTGTAGCTTCCCAACATGGATGTCAGCGAAGGAGTTGCTTTATCTGATAAATAAAGCCAGCCACGTCGTCAAAGGGCGAATCGACGACGTGTCTGGATTCATCAGATAGTCCGTAGACGGTTGGAGTTTGGTGAGTTTCACCATTTGCTCCGGGAGCTGCGCTCGGATGAGGGTCGCTTTCAGCGGTACTTTCGTCTCTCCCTGGCCCAGTTTGACGACCTACTGACCCGCATTGGCGCTAGGATCTCCTACCAGGACACCAACTACAGGCGCTCTATTCCAGCTGAAGAGCGCCTGTCCATCTGTCTGCGGTTAGTGTTTTTTACCCCATTCAGAATTCATAAATACTTACAAAGTGTGTCATTTTTCAATCACAATCCACAATGTAATAGCTCAGAAAACAGTATTATGCAACAATATGGTGTCTATGATTACTGTCTATGATGTTTACTGTCTACTAGTTTAACGTATTTTATGCTACACAAGTTTTGTCACGTGATTTTTATGAATGTAATTGTGATAAATATGTTCATATCATTTTGTAATTGCAGGTTTCTTGCCACTGGGGACTCCTACAGGACCATTGCGGGGAGCTTCAAAGTGGGCATATCCACCGTCTCCATGCTCATCCCAGATGTGGTGGCAGCCATCTGGGACTGCCTCGTGGAGGAGTTCATAGCTGTGCCTGGAGCAGAGGAGTGGAGGTCCATAGCGCAGGACTTTGAGGTCCGATGGTTCCCTCTGTGCTGTGGGGCCATTGATGGGAAGCATGTGGCTGTGAAGGCACCCCCCAACTCTGGGTCCATGTTTTTTAATTATAAGGGGCACCATTCCCTTGTGCTCCTGGCTGTAGTGGATGCCCAGTACAGGTTCAGAGTGATTGATGTGGGAGGGTACAGCAGATCCAGCGATGGAGGCCTCATGTCCAACTCTGCCTTTGGTGAGGCTCTGCGCGAGGGCACACTCGACCTGCCTCCTGACCAGTGCATACCTGGAGCTGACCACAGAGGACCCCAGCCCCATGTGTTCGTGGCAGATGAGGCCTTTTCACTGCGCTGCAATTTAATGCGCCCTGCACCGAGGGGAGCTGCTGCCAGTGAAGAACCACTTCCAGGCGTGCAGCGGATGGCCGCCTGGAAGCCAGCAGTGGACATAAGGAAAGTGTTCATGGCCCACTTCAGTGAGGAGGGAGCACTGCTGTGGCAGCCCACAGAGTAGTCATGTCCACCACAAGACTGACCCACATCTGGCCATAGTCCAAACCCATATTGATTTGCACTATTCTATTCACCTGTATACCTGCTGTTTCTAGGTAATGACTGCCAGACTCCACTGCGACTCCACTCCAACTTCAGGTTAATCAAATGCACATTCAAGCTTTTCCGTAATTACAAGGTTGGTAAAACAGTAAAAGGTGAAATGAATAAAAAATACTGTCAACTACTGTATCGCTCTTTAAGTGTTAGTTATTTCATCTTCTATAAAACCCAGTCAGCTCTTATAAAAGTAAATGTACAAATATAGAATAGCATTTTCTGTCAATATTATATGAAAGGTAGTAATGGTTGGCTTGAAGTAGAACACATGAGGTTTGAAAAATATTTTCTTTATAAAAAAAGGAACAAACAATGAAAAATAAATTAATGTACATATAAACAAATGAAAAGGAGCTTGCTTGGAGGAGGTGCGGTGGAAGAGGAAAGGGACACATGTCTGTTTCCTCCCCTGCAAAAGGTGTCACCTTAGGTAAAAAAAACGGTGTACTGGCCAATGGTTCCAAATTAAGCAGAACGGTGCTGCTTTCATATAAAAGTTGGTACATTTTGAATTTCACAAATTCTTTTGACTCTGGTGCCACCCTTTGCAGGAGAGGAAAGAGAGAGAGCAGGAACTGATGGTCTTCTGAGTAGTCGGGCGGTGCGGCTGCTTTGGTCCGTAGAGTCTCCAGCAGCTCCCGCTCCCACTCTGAAGGCCCACCAAGGAAGAGGGCTCGGAAGAGGCCCACGTCCGTAGAGCCGCCAACAAAGAACACAGGGCAATCACAGTGTTAAAAAGTGGAACATGTATTTCAAAAAAGCAAAATGAAGAGAGCAAATAATATCTGTATTAAAGCCAGAGTGTGTAGACATAGTTAAACACATGTAAAACACTTTTAAGTTGTGTGTTTGTTACAATTAACTTGAACATTGCAGTTATATCAATGAAATTACTCACACAAGCACAAATTTCGACAGTTACAAACTAATATCTCTGAAGTGTATTTCGCAATGAAATTTGAAATTGGCTGTTAAAAAAGTAATACTCTATTGTCTGCATTAAACAGGATAGCTGCCATCTTGTGGCAACCATTGCATGTATTTGTTCAGTACTTTTATAGCATAAGGTATTTCAGTAGTATGTTTTTATCGAAGAAAGAGGGAAGATGTGTTGTATCAGACCAAAGCTTCTTTCCACCTGTAGTGCCTTGACATCTTGTCGTTTCTCTGTAAATTTGTCGTCTACACTGATGTAACAGCCCTTGGGTAATTTTGGCATATTATGCAGTAACATTTTGTTTATATGAACAGTCCTGTAATAAGAATAAAAATATAACAATGATTAAAAAAAGCCACACCTGTAGGTGCAGAAGCAGGGGAAGGTCCAGCCCTCACAGAAGAAGAACCGGCTGAGGAAGAAGCAGCAGCAGCAGCAGCAGCAGCAGCAGGCCAAGATGTCTCACCTTGTGTGGTGGTGGCAGTATCTGTGCCAGAAGAAAACAAGAAATACAATTATTTCATATCATGTGTACATTGCGCTTATGACATTTATATGTACATAATAATGTACATTATTATTTACATTTAAATGATTTGTTCATATGAAAGGGAAAAGTGAAATTTAACACAACAC